TTTTTCAGATCTTCGAATGCGAAACTTCAAGTGGTTCTTCCGCTTGTACTCCTCTAACTCTTGGTTAAACTCGTCCCAACTCTGAACCCCATCTGAGAGTTTAAAAGGCGGAACTACGTTGACAATCTCGTCACTCTCGTTGCGGAGTGACGCCAGTTCTTCGAGATGCTTGCTAGCGCGCTTGCGGGGCTGGTACTCCGTCGGCGGTGGCAAACTTGACAGTCTGGCTTCGCTTTCTGCAAACACGCCAGAAAACACATTTTTTCTCTTGGATGGATGCGAGGTTACTGCTAGCAACAAAGGCAGTTAGTAAAGAAATCTCGTATTAATACTGTATAGCCACGCCATCGTAACAGCAACTCGAACTTACATTTTTTTCTTCTTCCGTGGCTTGCCACCTTCTCCGCCAAGCGTTCGGAGTTCTGGGTGCCTGCGTGCTGAATTGAACGAACATACAAACCGAGTGAACTTAGTTTCAGCCAAATCTCACTATCGCAGAAGCAAATAGGGCATTACCGGTAGTTGACCCACAAATTTCGTCGTCGTCGTCGTCGTCGTCCTCTCCGTTCTCCTCTTATTCTTCCAAAACGTCGTCATCCTCCTCTCCTGTGTCCTCGTCTTCATCACAAACGAAGTCGTCGTCGCTGCTGTCGTCCGGCTCCATGCCCAGCGTGGCGTACATATAGTTCAGCTGAGTGTTCTTCTTCTCACGCTGGAAACGTCGTGCTTCTGTCCGCACGCAAAGAAAGAGTCAGTCGTCTTTTTCTGCACGAAGTCCCCGTCCTCTATGACGTACCGTAACCAGAACCATCCACTGTAGCCATGTGTGTCGCTTAGTCTTCCGTCCGCCGCCTGAGATTCCGCGCCGCCACGTGTCTGTCCTCAATTCGGCGATTCTGAAAATAACAGGCTCAGGTTGATCGTACTTAGTCTGAAACACAAAATACGTACCTAAATGGATATGTGAAATATTGGAAATTTATATATTCCCTGCATTTTTTGAAATCGGCTTCGGCAACCATACACCACATGTTTTCTCTTTACGCAACCATAGCCATGGTTGCGGTAACGACTCCGAACTCCGAGGGATAAGATTGTGCATAGCGCAGACTTTGAGTCGGACTGTGTCCGGGTGCTGAAGGGTCAAGCGCTTCGCGTGTGTGTGTGTGGGGGGGGGGAAGCTACTTTGGAGTCTGTCCGTGTTGTCCCGACGCGCAAGCAGAGCGGCAGGAGGATAACGACGAAGCTGGTGCCTCGCTTATAGAGCGGCTGCAAAAGCGCTGTCGGCTGGAGCAGCATCAGCCAGTGTACGAGCTGCTTGGTCGGCTTCCCACCGTCCTCGAACGTTGTTAAGCGCTTTTTTTTTTTTTTTTTTTTTTTTTTTTTAGCGTCGCTCGCACAACGTTCAGGCTGCAGCGGCACTCGCTGCAGTCTTATCCCTGGAAATGTTTCTCTTCTTGCGTCAGAATGAGAGCGTTTGGGATGCACGCACCGTCGAGAGCTTGGAATGAAGTGGTTGCGATCATTGATCAATGAAGCTGCATTGTATTGATTATCTATTTCTTTGTTTCTCGCAGTTCAATAATTTATCGTTGATGTTCTCTTGCTGTCAACAATTAACTATCCTCTCAACGTAGTTGCAATAGATTTAGATACAATTTTCGGCAGCCCTGCCCAGGACCCAGCGAACGCAAATTATATGAGACGCATCAATATACGAATCACTTTCTATAAGCAACGCGCCAAGCTGTCGACATTAATACTTACAGCGTGAAATTATTTATTGAATCGTATGCAGATCGGGTCGAGCAAAGGCGTCATGATTGATAATAGGTATCATTGATATTTACGCAAGTCGAACTAGATGGATAGGCATCACGACATACTACAGGAATTTCCAAAAAACAGTATAAAGTACTGTTTTCTTGTGAATCCAAATAATGAAGTCAGAGTACTGGAAACAGTATGTATTAAGTTTGCTTGCAAACTTAAAACTCAAACTACGTACTTGTAGCACTTCTGAAGCTTCGTCGGGTAGCAGGAGGCACTCGACGGCGTCGTCCGCGGGTAGCGTGGTATAGCCACACAAAAGTGATTGTTTCTCTTTCAAAATCAATTTTTAATTGCCAAGGTAAGTTTTTAGCTGGTTCCCACGTGAGCTCTCGATGGGTTACCCACTGCGCTAAGTAGAATTCAGCGTGTGAACCCACCGTTTCGCATAAACTCACTCTACGTCAAATGTCTCCCCATCTCGCCCTCTTTGTGCTTGCCTTCCTCGAAATAAACCGTGGCCTCTGTGGTCAAAATGCCGGGTTTTCTTCAGGCGGAGGCCGATTAGGTAGATTTTGGTTGACTCTCAATCTGTAAAATGAACCGTCGAAATTGCGTTGGAAGTTCCGGGCGTGTTTTTGTCTTTTGTTAAGGGCGCCCATAGCAGAAGTTGTAGAGTGGCTTGCATCCCGCACTATCATAGTCGAGGACGTGTATAACATAAGAATCGATGTTGTTTGCTAAAAACAAATTGTATTGTGCCCAAATCACAAAACACAAAAATTTACTCAACACAAATACAACCTCACTTTTTCTATAAAATGTTTAAGTTTGATTTCAAATTCTGGAACGCTGTCGTAGAGATCTTATAACTCGCAAACGATAAACAGTGTGAAGCACATTTTATAATATAGACACCCCAAGGGAGCAGTTAATAATGTTATCGGATCACAATTTCGAAATTGCAATACAGGACGATCTGGAATGCTTCTAAAAAATACCTTGAATTCCACAATTTTTGACAAATAACATTTTAGTAAGGAGATATTAAAACGAAATTATACAAATACCTTCAAAGGAAAGAGAGTGTATTAAAAGCTAAAGAATCAAAGCTGAGATCCAGTATAGCTGTCCTCATAGAGCATTACGAGCTTGTTTTCGTTTGTGGGAAGGCTTGGGTCCCGGCTTCAGCCCGCGTTTACCAATGCGGTCGGGGTCACTCTGAAAATGAGGGACACACATGGATGAGTCGGACTCGAGGGTCACATTTGTCGGACAAGGCTTGAACGCGAAAGTGTAGGTGGTTTGAAAATGCCCAATTGATGTCCTTGTCTTGTCGTATAACTCTTCAAATTTGGTGCCATTGTGAACGGCAGCACAAATTGCGTGAACGCACGGAGAATCGTCGTCTTTCCAATTGCCACAAGTACACTCAGCTGCCGGAAGATCAACTATACGCCAAGGGTGAATGTATCCATGCTTGCTCTGCGGACCGATATGCTGAACCGAAATGACACCGTCTAAGAGAGGAGTTATTGCACACATTGACGCTTCCTTGGCTCGGTCTTCCAGCCCTTTTTGCAACAGAGGAACCAATCGATCTACACCGGTGTTACTGGTCCATTTCGAAGCCAATTGTTGTTTTTCAGACGTGAGTTCACTAAGGCGCTTGAAGTAAATGTGAAATGCATCAAGAGGCTTTGAGCTCTTCATTTCATTACCCATCCAATTGTTAGTTTGTTCCGACAAATTTGAGGTAATCTCACCGAACGTTGGCAGTCCAAACGTTTTGCAAAATTTGTACTTGACCCAGTGTTTCTGATCGATGTTGTCCAAATATTCTACAGCCTTGGGTTTAAAAACCAGTAATTCACTTCGAAATAGTTTGAAGTCATTTTCGCAGGCAGTGCGAGCCATGGAACATATTAGGCGTCTGTCGTCGATAGAAAGCTTGGCACCAGAACGGTTGATGTTATCCAATATATGCCTTAGACAATAGCGGTGTCCAGCTGAAGGAGATACCTCAGCTACGGCGAACAACAGGCCCTTCTGGAGGTCAGAAATTATCGTGATTTTGTCCAAACCAGTAGCTGTTTTCACACTTTCCATGAACCAATGCCATTTTTCATAGTTTTTAACCCCAACAAGAGCAAGAGCAAACGGGATGATGTGGCGGGCTCCGCTATTCCCGAATTTTTGATTTCGAAGGGACGCAAACTGGGGAAAACTGGAATTTCACGCATGAAGATGGATATCGATGGCAGACTACGAGGCGATTTGGTAGAAAGTTATCAGAAACTGGAGTCGTATTTCAAGAAAATGACAGAAAAGAATCCTGGAAGCGTCTGGAAATTTGACCGTGAAGCGAATAACTTGACATTTCGACGTGCATTTTTCGTTTCGAATGTTGGCATCCACATTGCTAACATGTGTAAGATACTGACCGGTTTCGATGGAGCGCACCTGAAAGGCGAAATGAACAAAAGGGGTGTTTTTCTTGTTGCCACGACGAAGGACTACATCAATTAAGGTTGCGGTTGATCGGTCATGCATTGAAAGCATTTCCGTCATAACCAGAGTTGTAAGTTGCTCAATATCCTGGGTGGTGTTGTGCAGCTGGTTTTCTGTGCAGTAACAGAACCTTCAACGAACGGAGCTTGGGCAAACTCAACATGCTTGACGTGGTTATGGGCCAAATTCATCTTCGTCACTTTCCATTTCCTGTTAAATCTAAAACCGTTCACGAAAAACGGGCATTCCAGACTTTCAACAGGAGTGTTTTGGTCGAAAAACTGTGCTCCGTGTAGCTTCTTGCACCTGTATTTTGCGTTCCCAGAATTGTTAGATTTCACGCTTGATTGTTTCACAAATATCTGGAAACCACAGCGAACGGCTAACTCTTTGAAGCTTGACCTGGCTGCCTTCTGAGAGGCGAACTCATGGTTAGCCAAATTTTCTAGGCGGTCGTACACCAGACCGTAGTTTTCAGCTGTAAATTGCTCCGAGTCCAAGACAACGTTATCTCGTAGCAGGCCCAAGTCACGCGCGGCCTGAACATCGGATGCATCAAGCACGAAGCGTGCTTGACCGTAATTGGATAACGATGGAGGTTTGTGGTTTGTGGCAGGGGACACCATTTCAAATACAGAGAATGAAGTAAGAGACAAAGTTACTTATAGCTATGTGGGATCTATAAAAAAACGAGGAAGTCACAAGGTATAAAAGACATTTAGGTTCTAATGAACAGTATTGATTGAATAATAAAGTTGTGTAAGTATTTTTTGGTTTGTCACCGAAAAAGTTGTTTTGTACATGTTGTTGGAAAAACAGTTTGCAGATGTTTGTGAATTAATTTATTCAACACTTACAATTTCCAAACTTAAGTTTACTGGATCGGTAGCTCTATCCCAGAATTATTTCTACAGACTGAGAGAAAACAGTACTTTGTACTGTTTTCTAGAAATTCCTCCGACATGCTAATTAGAAATCCCGATGTCTTTCCCATGTTATTCTACTTGTACTCAGGAGAGCTTTCACTGCAGCTCCATTCTCAGTTCTTAAGACGCGTGTCTGGCCAACTCGAGCGACTTTTCGATACTTGCCTCCGTCATCCATTCTACGCCATAACTGATGACGGGCAATGGTGTTTGCACTTTCTGGTGGGCGTGTTTCTGCTATTAAGGAGGAGGTCAAAAGATTGAACCTTAAACTCGGAGCGAAGTACTGTGGCTTCGTCACCGTAGTCTCCAATCTCCTCCCAGTCGCATGCTCAACATATTCGTCTAGTTGTTTGTTGTTTAGAGCAACTGTATCGAGTTTCGCAGCCAACGTGTTGATGGTATTATCATCAGCAGGAGTCGATTATTGTCGAATTTCACCGTTTCGCGTGCAACAGTGGGCGGAGCTGGTGAAGCAGTTTGAGTTGGCGCTGAGGTATGACGCAATGGCGTTGTGGTGGGCCATTGACTAACTCCTCCAGCTGAAATGACTTCAACGTCGCAAAAAATCAGGAAACAAAACACGCGCCAATGGTGGGGGTTGACCGTGGGCCGGAGGACGTGCATGAGGAAAGTCATTTGCATCTTGCAGTTCATGAGCAGGCGTTCGCAGTACATCAGGTGTCGGGGCAGGAGTTTGATTTACGGCAGGTGTCGGGTTAACTGGTGTTGTGCGAGCGAAGTGTAGCGGTGTGAAAATGCGCTGTCGTTCTCGAGGATCAGCCGTTCGAAGCAGCGTTTTGGATCTTGTTGGTATCGCTTTCTCACGGCGGTTTTTTTTTCACGAACGTATTGACGCATTATCTGGTGTTTCATGTTTTTTTTTTCGACTGTCATTCGATTACATTTTGCGGTCTTGGTTCGCGCAAGCTCACTGAACAAATGCTCACATGTTGCCGTGTTAACGGCGATGGACAAGATTGCGAGAGATGGCAGAGGAAGTTTGCAGTTCGTTTTCGTATTCGTCTCATACTCCCAAAACGTCGACACAGCATCGCTGCTGAAGTCGGCAGAGCGTGAAGTTGTATAAGTTCCCTGAATCCAATCGAACATTTCACCACGTATCCCCGCTGTCATCTTCATTTACAAAGCGACGATAGTATTATTGTGCAAATTGACAAAGATCGCCCACCTCGGTAATCACAGTTGGTGGAAGACTTCGTGCTTTTACAGCATACTCAGGATGAAGAAAGAACCCCAGAATGAAGAGAGGTTGCTCACAGGCATTCCATCAAGCTTCAACTAAGTCGTTGAGAGAGTTACTCAACTCCGTAGACACAAACCCACGATAAGTATTCATGAATGAAATAACTACATCTGTCACTGTATTTTCATCCCTATGGAGACGGAATGAAGCTGTACACAATGGCCGAACAATTTTCTCCGCAGTCTCGAACTTCGTCCAGAACTCAACATCCCCTAAAATTTGAATCTTATCCGTGAGATCCGGGCTACCCCGATATGAGAAGGCTATATCTTCTAAGGCTCCGCGTATACGAAGTAACGACGCAAAGCAGGCCTGTATCGAGTTCCACCTAGTTTCATATAGCGTGAAAACGGCAAAACTATCACCATAGCGCTTAGTCATTGCTTTAACAGCCCGAACCAGCCATTTAGAAGTAGAAGCGTTCAGAAAACTTGCAACTCCTGCGGCTTCCTTGGAAACCTTTTCAAACGCCGAGGTTAGAACGGCTTTCACCAGATTGTTGACGTCGTGTGCAAAGCAATGTATGAGGCGATATTGGGAAGCGAGGTGCCAATATACGCGGTGCCCGGCTACATTTCCCGGCGCTGTCAGTCACAATTGCACTTACTATCCACTCCGATGCCAATAGCTCGTCGATAACCCCTTCCATCTGCTCGACAATTGCAAGGCCGTCATGTCAATCGCCAGTAGCCTTTAAATCGTAAGTCAAAATCTGTCCAAACAATGCAATTGCACAATCCAGCACATGCAGTTTCGCAATCGTTTCCCACATATCCGACAAGTAGCTTACTCTTCCACCACTTCGATTCTGAATCGCTCGCACACCGTCACGTTGCTCCATCGAGTGCAGCTCGGCGTATTCGTTTAATACTCGACCGCTTAGTACATGGCGATGTGGAATAGCTCCAATCCCTCCAAAACGAACATTCAAAAAGACTAACAGGCGTCTCAATGACATCAGTTCCACAAACGAGTCAGGAAGCAAGGCTTCTGCTTGATATTCCAGCAACAAACGCCAGAAAACCATTTTTTCAGCGGGAGTAAATTCCGGTGGCGACGTGCATTGTTGTTTGTTGGCACCACCGTGCTGACTCAAGTTTGTATTGTCCTCGCTCAGAAACGCGTTCCCGGTGGCCCTGGTGTAGGAAGAGCAGTCGGACAAGTGTTTTTGCTAAACTTCTTTACGTCCATAGACATGAGCCGCATTGCAGTATTCACACACAGTCCATCACATGGTCTTGTTGCACCGCTCATTCAAATGGTAAAAATGTACTGAGGCCACTAGGAGGGAGTCCACGCTTGTCCAGGCCTGATGAATCCTGCAGCCAAGGCAGTAGATTCATTAGAACGTTGTAGCTCCGTCCACAGGTGCAGCAGCGAGATCTAGCTTCAACAACATCTTTTTTTTTTTTACGTCAACAATGTGAAAATGATTTGCAAAAATGTTTTTAATGTCGTATCAAATCCTTTATACGTAAAAATGTGAAACAAAAATACCAACGCTGCAACAACGTTTCTCATCGATTCCGACGTGAGCAGCTGCCGCACGACCTGCCAGTGCCACACTTCGTCGTCATGCGGTGCACGACCAGCCGATCCTTGCACGCGTCGCTCCGTCTGAGCCCAGCGACCACTCATACGTCGTACCCACGGTCTCCGAATCGCAGTCGCGCCTCACTGTAGCTGTGGGTATGGCGGTCCCCGTGCCACCGTCGCCCATGCTCACCACCATCTCCGTGTACGGCATGTACACCACGAAAGTGCCGCCCGCGTTCCACGCCGGCTATCACGCGTTCGAATTCAACCTCCGAGTCACACTCGATCCCCCGCACTTGTGCCTTGTTACAGTATATTGGACTGGTAGGGCTGTTCTTCATGACCACCATCAGATTAGTACCATGTATGGTAGTTGCAAAATACATAATGCAGGACACAACTAACGTACCCGACCACTTAAAGCCCGGTACAATCGAATAGAGCCAAAGCAAAACGGCTCGGAGGGCTTTATTCTGGAGAGGCGCCGTTATCAGAGCTACGTTTTTGCTCTACGCACCTATATAAGTGAAGCTTGTGGGCTGAACCAAATAGGGTTTTAATTTTTCCTTATTTACATCTTACAAAACGGTTAGTCGTAGAATTCGTAGTTAGTCAACGTTGTTGATTCCGAGGCAAACATCTACAAATCTGTAGAGCGTGGTACATGTAGGCAGGAAAGGTAAAGTAATTAAGGGAAATGCCGGTTTAGTAGCCTCGACTGGTGCCCTCACTATATCTTTGCAGCCAGGTATCCGATTCACACGTGCCGGGTAGCGTTGAAAGGAGGAGAACAGCCTGGTTTTACGGATGTTTAAAGATTTAATTGTTGCTTATTTTATTGACGTACGTATTATGTTCAGATTTTATTTTGCATATGTAAGGCACATAAAATACCACGGGTACAGAATTTAGAGAGTCTTGAATTAAGACTCTCTAAATTTCAAGACTCCTGATTATTGTCAGTAATGAGTGAACGTCATTAACCACAAAAGGAATTTGCTTCATTTTTTTTAGCCAATTGCAAATTTGATTCAAATTTCCACCAATTAGAGTATTACATAATCCCCATTGACCACGGTTTTGCCACTTTCCCCCTCTTTCGCAACTCTAGCAGCGGCAAAAGCGCGTGACACCATGTTCGCCGGCAATCACGGTGACCGCGCCAAACGCGATAAGGCGTCGGGAGTCGTGCGTAGTCATGCAGAGTGATGACGAGTGTGTTACTGTGTGCTAACTTGTTTCCTTTCTCCTTTTCCCGCTGCAGGTGGCTGGCCCGCATGCTCAGAGCAATGGCTGCGTCGTTTGCGGCTCGGACCAGAACGGAGACAGCATCCTGCTCTGTGACGGCTGCGACGGCGAGTACCACACCTACTGCCTTGTGCCACCGCTCACCGAGATCCCGGCCGGAGACTTTTACTGCAAGAAGTGTACGGACGCCAATCTGGCCAAGCAGCGCAAGGCCGAAGGCGCCTCCGCTGCCCCATCGACCGCCGCAGCTACCAGTGGACAACCGGTGGCTCCTCCTGCAGCTCCAGCCTCTCGTTCATCTGTCCCCGCTCCACCTTCTGCTGCTGCTGCTGTATCGGCTAAGCCCACCATCCTCATGAAGGAGTCCAAGTACAGAGGTGTGTCCAAAGTGTCGATGAAGGGCGTTAAAAAGCCGTTCGTGGCCAAGCTCTGGCAGGGATCAAAGTACCTGCAGCTAGGCACCTTTGGCAGCGAGATCGAGGCGGCTCATGCCTATGACAAGGCCGCACTCATGCACTACGGCAAGAGCGCACAGCTCAACTTTCCTCACTTGCACGACAGCTTAATTCGCCAGGAAGTAGCCTTCAGTGTGCGGACACAAAACCCTTCTTTTGCTGCGGCTGCGAGTGCTCCTCCACCTCCCGCTCACTCAGCGTCTGCGGATATCTACGCTTCCGGACGCGGGCGAGGCAGAGGTCGTGGACGTGGCCGGGGCCGCGGGCGTGGTAAGCGCTTACAGGAATCACCCGATGCACATGGAACAGCTGCACAACTAGAGGCCAAGCGCCGCAAGATGGAGAACGTTGAATTACCGACTCAGCAGGCACAGAGTGTGCTGGCTAAAAAGTATTTGGGTGTCCAGGTACACCGCGTGTATGCGCACGCACAGATTCACGTGAACGGTAAAATTGTCAATTTGGGCACATTTCCCACTGCTAAGGATGCAGCTATGGCGTATGACAAGGCGGCATTGAAATACTTTGGAAGACCGACCGGCTCTACTGACGCTCATCCTGGAGAAATTGTCCTCAACTTCCCAGAGAAACGTGACGAATTTTTGAAACAGTTGATGGAGGAGGAAAAACAAAAAATGGCGCGACAGACAGGAGGGTCGAACTACGCCAGCCGCAGTGCTCAGAACGCCAAGTACAACTTGTCCATTATGAAACTCAATTCGTGGATGTCGAAACTCCAGCGATCAGTGAAGATGGTGGAGGCCTCCCAGAGAGTGGAGTGGGGTCTTCACCCTGAATCGATGAAGACCGAGGAGGAACAGGAGACAAAACAAGAGGAAGAAGAAGCTACTAACGTGTCATCATTGGTGAAGACCGAAATTTTCGGTTCTGGACCTACGATTAAAAGGGAATTCACAACACGGGATCAGAAACTGAGGCAGAACAAGAAGGAGATCCAAGAAGCAATTGCACTGATGGTCGAGGAGCTCAAGATCTATGCGGCTGATGCGCCTGTAGATCCGCTTTTTCAGCCACCTCCTCGTTGCGCGCCTATTCTCGATTTATTGTCCACTTCTCGACATTTGAAGTTGATCAGTGCGATTAATGACCTTGCTCACCTCAAAGTGAAGGTAGACGGAAAAGATCCGCACTCTGTAGTCGATGGACGCTTCGAAAGCAAACTACAGGCTGTTGTCGACTATCGCGCCCGTCTTCAGATGTCAAGCAGCAACGAAAAGCAGAAGTTGGCGAATTATATGCGTGAATTGGAGACTGTGACGTCGCCAAGCCCGACAAGCCTTCCTGGTGGTGCGACCACAACAGGAGGGGAAACCCAGGCGTCGAAACAGCCGAACATCCTGAAAAATGCCAAGTACGTGAAGCGGAAAGTTCCGATATCGAAGCCACAGAAGCCTCAGGTGATAGACCTTATGTCGGATGAGGACTCGCCACAGCAAGAGGACAAAGAAATGAAGAAAGAGCCCGTTGCCACTACAACCGAGGATTCTCCGGCTGATGTGAAGCCGGAAGTGATCGCAGTAGAAGAGCAAGATCAACCCGAGAGCTCTACGGACGAAACGATTGCAAAGCAGAAAGAAACTGCAAGTACGTCAACGGGTTCTGGTGACGAGGAACCATCTTCTGTGTCGGTGGAAGAGAAGAGTACAAACTCAGCAGACAGTGGTGATAATGCAGCTTCGCAAGATGCGACAAATGATAAAGAATCTGGCGAAAAAGAAACGAAAGTTACGACTGACTCCTCTGAAACGACGAAAGAGGAGGAATCGAAGGAGGGTAGTCCAGACGCGGATAAAACTGAGGAGGGCAAGGCCGAACCCGAAGTTCCGGAAGACAAGGCTGAAGCAGACAAAGTTGAAGAAGTAGAAACTGAAAAGACTGAAGCTGACACACCTGATGGTGATAGTGCAGAGGATGCGAAGCCTGGAGCTTATCAAAGCACGGCGAGTAGTGTCGAAGACGAACCCGACACTGCAAAGACGGACGAGGATATCACTATGGAAGATGCTGAAGAAGATGGTGGTGAGGTTTCTTCGTCAACAACCATAGTCGTTCCCAAGGACGAGTTTGAGTGGCAGTTCTGTTTGGCTATTCAATTACCCTCAGCTAAGGAGAGCCCTACAACATGTGACGGTGTGTGGCGATTACTACCGCTATCGAGTAAGACCCAAATGGGCGAATTCATTGAAGATGTTTTCCTAACCGAAAATGAAGTATCGGAAATGGAAATCTCAGAGGAAGAGGTCTGCTCTTCTTCTGCTGCTACTGACGGGAAAACACCATGGATGGAGCATTTGCGCCAGCTGCATGTCGAAGAAAGCCAAGTACGCCAGCAAATCCAGCGGGAAACTAATCATCAACACGCGCTACAAGGTATCATGAAGATCGAGCAAGACCGGCTGAATCAGATATCCGTGGTCTACCGCGAAGCCATGAACAAACTTGATACAAAAACCTCGCTGGCACTTAAGAATCATGCTCGCGTGAGTCAGGACGCACAGCTGGTGAAGTTGATGCAGCACTCCTTCAACCCAATACTAGGAGATCTGCTGGACAAATGCGAGGAAGCGCTGTTGAACTGCTTCCGGAAACTATCTCTTCGATTTGTGGACTTCTCTCAAGAGTTCGAGTACTATCGCACTGCGCTACTTAATCTGACTCAATCTTCAGGAAAGGAGAATCCAACCGAGGAGGGACAGTCCAGCCCGGTTGACGCATCGGATCTGGTTTTGGACGACGTGACCATTAAGCGGGAAAATATCGCGAAGGTAACAGGAGAAGCTGCGGATACAGACCCGACGATTGGAACTGGTGACAGTGTGAAGGTTGTTGACGATAGCGAAGCTACCCCAGTCAATGAAAGTGACGAGTTTGATGATTTGGGTGACAGCTCTGGGCTAAGAGAAGCCTATATCAACTTTTATATGGGCGAAATGGAAGCTCTGTGGAAAGAACGAAGCTCTTCACTCGAAATGGTGCAGGCGATTCAGCGCTCACTGCTGCATACCACGCTTCAAGTGGATGCCTCCACTGCAAAGCCAGTGGAAGTGCAGAAAGCATCTGAGGTAAAGTCGTCTGATGACGCTGAGATGAAGGTAGAGGAAAGCGAGGATGCCGAGAATACGGTCGAGTCTACGGAAATGGAAGCACAATCCGAAGAGAAAACCGCAGAGTCTGAAGAAAACTCAGAGGTGTCACAGGAGGGTACGGCGTCGACTGGAGGCGCAACAATCGAAAAGGAGGCCGATGTAATCGTGGAACAGGCGGATGTGAATACACCGGAAGCTGTGTCATCAAAACCCGAGAGTACCCAAGTCAGCAGCGAGGTCGTTGTGAAAATTGAGCCGCAGGAAGAAGTGTCAGGAAAATTCCGGCGGGAGCAGGAACTACGTGAAGCAGTTGAATCCTGCTTGGCTCAATGGCAGCGTATCCAATGGCCAGAGGAGCTGAACTCGACGTTCCTCACCCCAACGACAAGTTCCATCTCGTCAACTACGTCTCCGGTGATCAAGAGCGAGCACATTAAGACGCAAACTTGTTCTGCTGCAGATGAAGAGGAAGCCGAGTACGAGTCACCGTACAGCGTCATGGACGAGTTGAAACGTGTAATGATCGACCTGACTCAAGATCAAGTGATCCCTGTCCCGCCGCAGGTTGAGCCGACGACGCTAGTGATGTATCACCCTGTATTCATCAACCACCAGACTCCGAAGGACCACCCCGAATGCCCCGAGCGCATGGATGTGAGTTCTGTTTATGTTGTTCACCTCTGTTTTTCGCTCTTCTGACCATTTTTTTCCCTCTTGCAGCGAGTCGTAAACATTCTGAACACGTTGGTAAAGAAGCACCAAGACACGCTCAAGCTGGAGCGTCTCTCGATGTCACCAGAAGAGTTGTGCCCTCCGGAAACCACGCTTTTGATGGTGCACTCGCCGACTTACTTGCGACAGCTGAAGGAGCGATCGATCGAAGCCGGTTCACAGTCTGCGTCGTCCCCCACGGCTTCATCCCCATCATCTCGCGCTCTTGTGTTCGAGTCGGACTCGGGCATTCGGGAAGAGACACCGAAGCGTGATGGACGAAAGAAGAATGGACGCCCACTGCTAGCTGGTGCCTTTGGTGCTGCTAGTCTCGAGCAGAATGGCGTGGAGTTAGACACATTCGTGAGCAGCAAGTCGTGGGACGTTGCTCGTGCTGCTGCGGGCACCGTGTGTCTTGCGGTGGACCGAGTTGTGCGCAAGGAGTATCACAACGCGGTCTGCTTAGTCCGTCCTCCAGGACACCATGTTGGTCGTCATGGCCGGACGCAAAACGCTCCGTCATCAGGTTTTTGCTTACTGAACAACGTGGTGATCGGCGCGACACACGCGCGGCTGTACCCGTGGATCCGCAAGGTTGCAGTGCTCGATTGGGATATCCACCACGGAAACGGCACGGAGGAGCTGCTGATGGACGATCCGGACGCGTTCTTTGCGTCTATTCATCTATACTCAGCTGGGAAATACTTTCCTGGAACGGGCAAGTCGTGTGAGACGGGCAACCGTGTCAATGTGGCTCTTGAGAACACGGGAGCTGGTAGCGGTTCACAGGCATTCAGGTCTGCGCTTGAGTTGAAGGTACTGCCGGCTATACGAGCGTTCCAACCAGATATTATCTTTATCTCAGCAGGCTTTGACGGCCACCGCGACGACATCCTAGGTGGGGTGGCGGCTGTAAACAACCCCAACGTGCCTGCTGGGTACGTGGAGGAGGACTACGCGTGGGCTACTTTGGAGGTCCTGAAGCTGGCGGCTGAGGTATGTGACGGCCGCGTTGTCTCGGTGCTGGAGGGTGGCTACGACGTGCGCCGTGAGACGAACTCGCTGGCCAAGTCGGTGGCGGCCCATGTTGCGGCTATCTCGGCGTACGAGGCAGCCCGGCGAATGTCTGATGACAGCGGCACTGTCGATGTGGAGATGAAGGAAGAGGACGCAGCGGACAAGGCTGTCGCCCCCGCTGGCTCAGCCACATCGGCACAAGGTGCGGTTGTCATCAAGACGGAGCATCCGATTAAGCAAGAGCCTGTTGGTTTGCTAGAGAAATTGCTGTCAACGGACCTCGACGACGACAACGTGGTCATCATCGACGACGAGGACAACGAGGAGGAGGGCGGCGAAACAACCCACGATGTCCATGACGGCGAAGATGTTGAGGATGAAGACACGGGTGAGGAGGACGATGGCGACGTCGCAATGGCCGATGCCGAGGGAGGGCCCGAGAGTGAAGAGCCTCATGATCACAGCGAGAAGAGCGGGCAGGACGCCATGGACGCGGACGACAGTTGAAGTGGTAGTGTCCTCCATGCTGTCCTCCATTATGTTTGTTTTCTGATTGGCCATAATTCGATTTTCTGTACAAATCATCCAATCATGTCTTTATTTTGTTTTTTTACCAAAATTATCGATTCATTCGCAAATCCCCATCCTAGCGAACGCGATGAGCGACCCGTTCTACCTGGCCGACATCTTGTTGGGGCGCGTGGGCGTTCTCCGCTCCACAGCCGAGAGTATTATTCTGGAGCTATGCGAGGCGCAGACCAAGCTGGAGCCTGGCCAGGCATCGGACGACGCACTGCGCCTGGCCATTAAGAACAAACTGGAGCGCGTACAAACCAACCTCAAATTGCTACGCAAGCTCGTGCCAGAGTTCGGTGCGCATTGTCTCCCTACTGTCAACTGCAATGTATGTGTGTTAACTGACGTGCTGCTGTTGGCCTTCAGACGGCAAGACGAAGCCTATTGAAGGCGTGAGCCAGACGCACCGCAACCTCATGCTCGAGTACCACTGGAAGAACCAGGTTCAGGACATGGGCGCTAAGGCACAGGCTGTGTATTTGGAGCAGCTGAGCGCCACCTTCCCGCGCCTCGAGATGCTGGGCGACGTGCGCTGCCCACCCACCCCCAGCAGCCTCTTCGTGCCCAAGTCGCACAAACGCGGTCGGGTTTTCGACCCCTTCGGAGAGAAGCAGCCTGCCACACTCAACGAGATGATGGATTACATGATGGCCAAGAACCGCAAACTCAAGTTTTTCAAGCACGCAGAGACTACACGTGGTGGCCGTCGAGTCATCAAGTCCATCAAGTGCGAGATCAACAAGGAGGTGACAGTGCATCTGAGCTTCTGTCCGCCCATTCCCGAGAATGGACCCAACGGCGAGTCTGGCGTGGCTGCCAGCCCCATGACTCCATCTACACCAACATCCCCGGCCTTCGCCGGTGGCCGCCTGCGTAGTACTCGTAACAAACACAAGAAGCAGCAACAGCAGCTCGTGAAGAAGAAAAAAGGCGACATGCTAACGAAAGCCAAACTCGCCGCCGAGGAGGCCACCAAGATGGAGATGGAGGAACTCAAGCAGCGCATCACAGAGGCGCGCGAGGCAATTAAAGAGCAGGAGCAGGCTCGAGCTGCTGGTTTGCAGGTTACCAAGTACATCCAGCGACTGTCTATCTTCCCGTACAACGAGGATGCTCCGCTCGGTGCGTGGTCGGAGTCGTCGCACAACCTTTTCCGGCTTGTCACGCTGCACGGCCGAAAGGCATTGGACCATTTTCGTAAGCAACACCCGGAGACGTGTTTCTACCATCTCTTCACGTGGCTGGGCTACTATGACAAGATTTACCAGACTCCATGCTCGTTCTGTAAGAAGCTGCTTGCCAAGGAGAGTGAGGAGTGGGCCTATGTGCCTCCGTCTTTCCGCGACTACGCAAACGGACAAGCTTTCCACTCCAAGTGTCTACCCATTGAGTAGAGGAGCCAGGCAAGCTAGTAGCGACCAAGTTGCTTTGATAAGTCCACCAACATGGAAGGACCAACCACTTCATTTAACTTTGTTGTCTTCTAGGCAGCTACTCGAGCCTGATCGGGAGCAAGCGACCGAAAGCTGGAGGCTTCTCTAGGCCCGATTGCGCCCGCAGTTTGATTTTGCTCGCTGCCAAATCGCGTGGAGTAACAGTGGTTGCCGAGAGCGGCGGCTGGCTGCTGGTGAGTTGGTCCTTATTGACCAGCCCCATTGCGTCGTAAGCTTCAACGACAAAAGCTGTATCACAGAGTAAAAACCATAAATCGTAGTCAGCACATGTAAAACACTATATACTCGTAGATTTAGTACCCACCTGCACATGGGAACGAAGGAGCTGCATCAGAGCTTGGCTTGCGCATTTCTTCCGGGTTAATCAGAGCCGAGACCGTGTGACGCAACGAGATTCGACTTGTGCGCCCTGCATTGTCGGCAATGAAGGCACTAGCAGCTTCTTGAATTTCCTTGGATCGCTGCAATGCTGCGTCGTCAGTAATAAAATAGCATCCACTGCACAGCAACATGCTCACCTCGTGCTTTAGAGTCAACACAGAAATCTCCGTGGCCTCTGAAGTCAATAGTCGAGCACTGTACGGACGACACTGCACCTTGTCCAGCGTCTCCTCCACGATAAACTTGCGGCCCAAACGGTCCACGTAGATCCAGCCGCAGTGATCGAAGCGCGGCCGCAGCTGCAGTCGAGTAACCCACGTGTGCAGCGCCGCCAGAGGCTGCAGAGCCGTCAGTTTGCGCTGGAAGAAGATGAGATCACCTGTCTCGAGCGTCTCCATGATGGTATCGTCCATAGACCCAGGGATGAATTCAAGTGCCTCACCCCCAGGAGGTGCACGCACTTGGTGGCGCATGCGCGTGAGTGTTGCGTTGCCGCTCCAGGCCACCGCTCCGGCCAGTGGCAGCAGTGCGAGCGTCCGGGCTGCCATAAGTAAGTGATCCTCAGAATGATGCGCGTCTATGAGCCCATAGGATTTGCAACTTGGCAACTTCTGTCAATTATTGCAGGTTGGCATTGACAGTTTGAAATGCTGGGTGTTGGCTGTGCAAAAATATTTTTTTTCGCGTGGAAAAATGATGCCAAGCCATTCACACATAAAATTAACTGCTTTGTCGACTAGTAGTGACTGCGTGTTGCATAGCCCTCATAGCTTTCTCTCTGTCATTCTGTTCGCTAGGCACAACCACTTCTGAGTCTTCAATTGCCGTCGCTTCCATTCGTGACGCCATCTAGAGCAGCAATCGCTTGCTTCAACCGCTGCTTTTCTCCGCGGAAGAAAGCTATATCCCGCAGCACGTCCTCGTTCAGCGCAGGACAGGCCGCCCCCGTCCGTGCTGCCAACGCCGCCGACGCCACACCGTTCCACGCGAGCTGCTGTGCTAGTTGCGAGATTGTTGCGATCACACCGCGAAGTTCCGCCAGTAGCTTCAAGCGTCGATCTTCCAGCAGTGTCTGTGTACGCAGACGGACGTACTCATTCGCCATTTCACGGTCGCACTCGACGCGAGGAACGTCAAGGTCGTCGCTTGTATCGTCGAATGTGATGACCACGCTATCAGACCCGCGCTGTGCTACATTTGGAGGTCGAACTAACGTCCTCGCTTCCGGAACGGACCTCTTCACGCCATTTGCAATCTGCGAACTACTGATCGCGCCCACCTTAGCCGTCTGGAACCCGTTAGCAGGCGGCGCTTGCAGCACCATTTCGCGCTGTTCGTCCTCGTGCGAGTCGGCGGTATCCGAGTCATCGCTGGAGGTTGAAGAGCTATACTCTTCCTCATCCGGACCATTGGCGCCCTCAGTCCGCCGCCGCTTGCGCGGGCCGCCCTCCTCATGATCTCTGACCTGCTCTAGCAGTGCCTGAATAAACTGCGGGTTCGAGCGCAGTATATCGTAGCAGTGGCGGAAATGGAACGACTCGAACTTGAGTTTGGGGCGGGCCGAGTCCGTCTCCGAGTCACCTGTAGGTGTCGGTGGCCTCTGTCGGCCCTGCACGAACTGGCGCACAGCTGCCGCATTAGTCTCACTCCTCTCCTCTCGGAAGAGCTTCTCGGCCTGTTTGATGGCCTTGGGAGGCCTCTTGCCAGTCTTTTGCATCTGTACACAACAAGTGCAATGAAGTGCGTCAGCAGGGTGTTTTCCTACATTTAATTCCCCCAACTCGGCACACACACACCTTGTCCACCAGCGACGTGAACAGGACCATGTCCGGACGGATGCCGCGCGACCAGCGCGTATGCAGAGAGCGAGCGCTGCGCGGCGCCGCCGTGATGTCGGGCACGATTGCTTGTTCAGCAGTCACGAGCCCCTGATAACGCTGCTGCACGCGCTTCCAGAGCGCACAGTTGTCGCTCAGCACCACGTCCCCGTGGCTGGCGAACACAGCTAGCAGAGCGCGTCCAAGGCGCTTATCGTCCGCGTGCGTCCAGCGTTCCTTACCTCGCCGCATCTCGAAGAAAAGTAATATTCTGGCGACAACGAAAACACTTTTGAAAATAGAAGAGGGGAGGCGAAAAGTCCATACAAAAACAAGAAGTTTCAGTAGTATAGTTTTGATTGGGTAAACCCACAAATGCAAGCTAGACACTGAACCCGCTCCATACACGAAGACGATTTCGACCAGAATTCCCTCGTCGGGATGCATTTCGCACACGCACGCCAATATACAACGTTGTCTGCACAGAGCTCCACGTGTCAGCAACCAAAATGAAAAATATCCTCTTGACTTTACTACACCAAAATCTTAAACTTATTCGACTTACCCATATCCACAGTGGATGTCCTTACTGTTCGCATCGAAATGATGCACGTAATTAGCTGCTTAAGAGATTAAAAGTACTACATTCATCTCTGTCGTCTTCTTCAACTCTGGACTTCGGACGCGTCCAGCGCGTCAAGCTCATGCTTTAAACGAAGCTTTTGCTCACGGAAAAAGCGCAGGTCCTGCTGCACCTCTTCCGCCAGTGTTGGATCCAGTCGGCTCCCGGCAGCCATTCCCATCGGTGCTGCCGTACCATTCTCGAGCTGGTTGGCGAGTTGCGAAATGGTCTCCACGATTCCTCGCAGCTCGGCCAGCAGCTTCAGTCGGTAGTTCGCTTTCTGCTGGGAGCGCTGCGACCGAACCACTTGCGCCTTAGCAGCGTAGCTGCCGTTTTGAGTGTTGGCATGCGGAATTCGACTCTCTTGTGCAATTGGCAGCTGTACGGTTTGTGACGGAGTCGCCACAGGAGCCGCCACGGAAGCCACGCCCTTGGGCATGGGAGCGCCATCGTCGCTGGAATCATCGCTCGAGCTCGACGATGACGATGCAGATGCCGAAGCTGAGGCAGCAGAAGAAGCTACACTCTCCTTTCGACGCTTTGGAGAAGCCTTACCCTGTAGCTCAGCACTGTCGTACGAAGCTTCTGATCCATTCATCATCTCGTCAGCATCGCTGGGGAGCTTCGGTCGACGGCCTCGCCGCTTCTGTGTGGGGGAGCGCGCCACACGCGTCTTCTTCTCCGACAGCACTGCGCGCATAAAACGATTGCTCGTTTTCAGCACTGGAATGCAGTGAGCGTATCGGAAGGTAGTAGCTTTGGTCTTGGGTTTTGCTGGTGGCTCGGTATTTTCCAAGATGGCTTGCTGCGTAGACTCCCTGTAAGCGCGCAGGGTCTCTGCTTCCTCGGCTTGACGGATGGTCTCGAAGCGATGCTTGGCCTCCATGATAAAATCCTCCTCTTTCCAACCTTCGTGCTCCTCTTTCTCAACCTGCGGCAGTCGGTCATAGCAACAAAGCAGCAGAATAGCCCGTTCACATTTTCCAATCTTAGGTGCACTTGAAAACTTTTCAGCATGACACGCACCTTCACCAGAAGCGACATGAAGAAGGACGACTCGGGCCGGATGAACGACGACCAGTGGGTCTGCAGCGCGCCTCCAGCACGAGGCGCGGCGCCGGGATCCTCCTCGTCAACCAGCTTCGCGTAGTGTGTGTATACGCGAGTCCACATGTTCTTGACGTGCTCAGTTCCATCGCTGTCCTGCGTGGCCAGTACGAAGGCGCGGCACAGGCGGATATCGTCTTCGTTAGACCACGCAGCCTTGCTCTTGCGGCGATTGTTGGACGTCGGCGACGACATTTCTTTAGCTTGCTGCACCTGGGAGGACAGAGAATAATGATGAGGAAAAATGGAATCCTGCAAACGTAGTTCCAGTACGGTACCCATACTAAACCTACAACATTTTTAGAGACAAAGTCGGGTAACGATGATCTGTACAGATTCTACACAAACAAGGTGCGCTCCTACAGTGGTTTGAAAGGGATTTCTTCTTTATCTGGGCAACGACGTTGGACATAGACCAACGGCAAGGTACAAGCCAAATAGTAACCACTTCAACAACCTCAAACGCTTTGGTGTAGTTGCGAAGAAGGCAATAGGAATAACCCCGTAGACAGCCGGCAGGTTTTGAACAGTAAATGGAATAACTTCAGTATCTAGTTATTCCATATGCAGCAAACCTGCCCACCCTAGGGTGATGATGCGAGCCTAACTTTGTTGGGTACAGGTGGCATCTGAGCGCCAGTAGTACTGGCCCAGTACACACATACGCAAGCACGACGAATCTACAACCATCTTTTCAGCCTCTTTCAAAACAGGCTCAACACGATTTAGGTAGGCTGCCAGCACGTACGAAGCTTGCATTTGCTATACATCCATCTTTTACAGCGTAAAGTTTCACCCACGATTTATACAACCGGATAGACACGCATGATGCTGCCGTTGCTGTTGTTTTTGTTGTTATAACACGTTTCCGCTTCATAAATATCGCCACAGAGTGAGAAACTGGAGATTCATTAACTACAGCAAGATCTGAACACATAATATGTGTTCATATTATGAGTGATTTTGAATGATTTAAAAAAAAAATCACTGAAGTGAACGCATGTAATACGGAGACTAGTAGTTAGATTTTTTCAGATTGGACTCTCCCAGTGTCAACTTCGACACTGTAGTGCTAAGCTCGGCAGTTTGGAAGTACTTCAAGAATTAAGAATAATGCGTTGTATTGATTCCTCAGCTTTGCCATAGTTTATTTTACAGTTTCGAGAAAACGGTTATATTTTGTTTGAAAACTGTAGTTTCTGGCCAGTTTGTGATCAAGTTTCCGAACAATCTGTTCTGTGGGTCTCCGCTCTTCGCGTTCGTTTTGGTGGCGGAATGTAGGCTGTGTGTACTGTGATGGCTGAGAGTGCTCTTGCCTTTTATAGTTTAGAAGCTGTTAGTCGTATCTATTTACATTTTTCTTACTTTAAAATTGACGAGTTCATGCCACGCGTGGCACCACATTGAACCCTAGAAGAATATAATTCACTACTATCCACGTCGATTTCTCGTGGAACTTCTGTGTATTATGTATTTGGAATGGGAAAAAGAGCTAATAATATTGATGTAGTTCAACGATATCCTGACTCAAGATTCCTGAGTAGTAATATTACACTGCCAAGTTCACATTATTTTTTATTTTTTAATTTTGCTTTTTTTAACTGTGATTTTTTAAAAACACCTTAAAAAGCAAAATTTAAAATTATTCAACAAAACTTACTTAAGTACTTGAAAAAAAATCGAACCACTTTCTCTCACCATTTTCCCTCTATTAAGGATCTCAACCATAAATGACAATATGACACTTTTCTGGTGTCGGCAATGAGAGACTCGGGCCTCTTAACAGGAAGCGTTTACTGTAATGTTATTATTGGCTATTATTGGCTTTCTGGCATAGTCTTATATTGTACCATGTAAAGTCGTGAATTTTGCCCTCGAGCTCCCCTTCGTAAAGTCCAAACTTGTAATTGGAATACATTTAGGAAGGATTCTAGTTGGAATCCAAGTAGAATTCTTTCACGAATGCACTCATCACTCGACTAACTACGATGTTGCTGTGTCACACTTCCTCGCCAGTGCCACTAAACGCAAAAAAGCTGCAGTTATGTTGATTAGCATGCCACTCTATGGACTGCCGGAAATGGTGTTTTGAAGTTATTGTCGATCAACTGTTCAGTAAAAAAAATACAGGAGGTAGCTATATTATGGATATTTTTCTAACCTCTGGTTAATTTATCGTAAGCTCTGCGAGTTTTATAGAGCCACAAAATTTGTCCTGTCTCCGCGGAAGTATTTTCATTCGTCTACGGTAAATTAAAAATACGTTAAAGTATCAAAATGAATAAATATAAAAATAATCTATAAAATAGCATTAGTTGGAAAGTACGCAGAATCAATGAAAATGATAATAATGCAGTTTCATTTCTATTACTTTCATTTTATACTTACAGACGATCCCCTCAGTAGTAATCCCTAGGCTTGGAATACTCCCTCAACAGCAATAAGTTATCCGTTGATCAGTTGCTTACAATCCAAGATATTATTCCCTCTCACTCCTCATTTGTAAAATGGAATACATACGAAGTCAAATATTGCAATTCTGGGTGGTTAACTATGGGAAGTCATAACTGCACAGGGCATCAGAAGGAATCTAGCAAAGACTTTTGGTGCTTATGGCCTTGTTCCCTTCCAAGTTCTTCACGAAGCGTTCGCTGCGTTTCTTGTAATCTACTCACCGATCTATCCGATACTCGAGTCGCACTTGCACGAACGAGAATCTTACCAATCCACGTGAAATACTCTTTAATTGCTTGGTCCTCCTCAACACTACGCTCCATATTGTCCTCACCCGGGTTTTCTGAGCCGGTCTCAGAGCCATCTGCAGCCAATTCTTGGTCGCCAACTCCACGAAAGTCTTCACTGTGGGATCTTCTGCAGTTATGTTCTCGCCCGGCGGGTTCAGAAACTCGTCCACGGACATTGGATCCTTAGCGTGCAGGCGCGATAGCATCGTCGCAAGCAGAGCGGATATTGCATCATCTTCGTCTGGATCTTCGAAGATGCAATTGTAGTAGTCTAAAATGCCCGGCGTGCTTCCAGTACCTTGCAAAGAGGGACGGTGAAATAAGCCAATCGTTTCCACGACTGGAGGCTCCAAACTAAGGTATAAATACTCGGATCCATTTTTGTGGTACATTAATGGATAGGAATACCCTTACACAGGAATAAATTAGTGGCCGACAGCGCTATGACTCGTCTGTAACCAGTTTGGTAGCTACAGAACTTGTGTAGTCGAGACTGCTGAACTACTGATTCTTGGGTTGCAACTGTTTGGTCAAATGCAGATACTACACTTGCAACTTATAATCGGAAGTTCGAGATGTTACTTCAGTTGCTCGACGAATTCTTTGGATGTTGACAAAAGGCAGCGATGGCATACTGCACTTGGTTTTGGGTTTCCTCGTCGCAGGCCTGGTGCTACCGTTTGGCCTGAAGTTCGTACTGAACTTGGCAAATATTGACTATCTGGCTGAAAGCTGTACAAATTTCGGGCGAGATGACACCAGTGCGAGGAATTGGTTCGTTGAGGGCTATCCACGTATTTTATCATCCAACCGAGTACCGTAATCATATTGGTAGTAAAACAGAAAGTAATTCTCATTCATCCTCTTATTTAAACTATTATAGTATAGTGAATTTTATATTTTCTTTACGTGGTGGTTAGTAATATTATTATTCTTTTTAATTGAAACATAAATATTATAACTAAGAAATCTAATATTCTTAATCTGACCGAGATGAAGTGAAACTTCTATTTTTGACACTGCTAAAGCATTTTAAAAAAACAAATAATCAAACAAAAACTATAAATGACAAATACCTTTTTTTTGCGAAGGATATTCTGTTTTTTCAGTTCCTGTGAGCGAAAACCCTTCCGAAACAATTAATTGCTATTGTCTATCAACCTAGTAAAATTCAAAAGCCTTTTTTGCCCATCTTGTGACGGAACTTGTGCTCCATGGAGCTCCAAATGACGGTAGAGGTTGCTGGAATATTGGCACAACAGTCTCACTTTCGATTTTTTAACTTGAACAAAGTAACGTGGTAAAATAAAATATTTAGATTACCGAGTGCAAATTATCAACCGCTCATTTGACAAGTAAAAAGCATGTGGAGCGTAGCTACTCTTGGGGAAGCCCGAGATTCGAGGAAACTCGTCGCCAAAGAGCTTGAAATGCTCAGCGATGAGACCTCGCAGCATCATGAAGTCCGAGTAGCGGCGGTGCACGACCCAACTGCGACCAGTGATTGCGTTCTGCACGTGGACGGTGAAGATGGTGGTCTTCTTACCGAGCTTGTTGTCAGTGGAGACCACAGGCTTGACGTGGTACACAGCGATAGAGCCCACGTTGACCATGGAGCGCTCAATGGAGGTGCCGCCCATCGCTACCTGCAGCGTCTCGCCGCCGTGGTTGGTAGGGCGCACCACTAGCTGCGGCACGTGCTGCGAGAACAGCGCCTTCAGTGCCTCAGGCATGGCGCGGAAATTTTAATCGTTGACCGAATAATGCTACAGTGTATTAATACCAGTTATTCACGTGGTGGTGCCCCCCAATGTGGCCTCGGCAATGAAAGCTTCGCTCCTCAGTAGCGACCACGTGTCGCTCTGTGCGATCTCGATCACCGTTCCGCATGGATAGACAGCAGAAGCTGGAATACATGTGTACGCGTGCCGACAAGACAAAAAGGACAAAGTCTCGTTTTATCGAGCTGAGACGTAAGGATAAATTGCACATGAATTTAGGTGAAACGATCACGAAACGGCGCGTTAATGACAGTGGAACTGGCACCGCCTTGCAACGGACTACTTGGGTTTTATTTCAACTTGGTCCTCGAGTGTGAGGCGAAGTGAAAGTGCTGCGGATTGCACAGAATCAAACAGATCCGTTTATCTTCCAAGTAAAAGCTCGTGACTCAAGCTTTCGTTCCAATCGATAGGATGTCGCCTGTTGTCTGGTTCAACAAATGGCTTCCTTTCCTTACAAAAACCAAGTCAGATGTACAATCTGATCTCGTGATCATGATTTACAATCATCAAAAGCTCGGCCCTTATTGGCTGACGCAAGTGGCAGCCGTTATGGATCGCTCCAAATCGAGGGGCGGACGTACGCGCCACCTCATCCATCCGAGCCATTCCTCCTTCGACCTCGCCGAGATCAAGCAAGCAACTGCCGAAGCTAGACATCATCATGGTCATGGGCATCTTCTCCGCCGGCATGGGCGCCACCAAAGCGCTTCTGAGCTTCTACGGATCGCTGTTGCACTACTGGGTGCGTCGTGGCAGCTACGCCGACTGTCCGTTCTTCTCGGATGACCTGCACGCCAAAACGTACGTGTACTCGATCGCGCTGCTGAACCCTCTGTGGAGCCAGCCGCACTACCGTCACCCGAGCTTCTACAAGGATCTGGTCACCAACCTGCGCAATGTGGCCATCCCAGGAACGGGTGTGCCGCTCTCAATCGTGAGCTACTCGCGTCTCATCCTCTTCCCGTTCCTACTCTTCGTTTACCCGTGGCTGTGTGCCATCGGTGCCTTCTTCGAGCTGCCCAAGGAGTACTCAAGCAAGCAGGGCGGTATCATTGAGCGCTTCTTGCGCACCTTCACGCAGATCTTCGTGTGCCCGCAGAACTGGTTTGCCTTCTGGCGTATCAACTGCCACGTCGTGAGTCTGCACAGCCTCAAGACCAACTCGCCTGGATACATCATGGAGAACAAGTGGGACTTTCTCATCGAGTCCGAGAAGAACGGCATTGCCGTATCACCTTACCTCAAGACGCCCGGCTCGCTGGTTGTCAAGGACCGCAACGAGGAGGGTGGCATGGGCATCTTCATCTTCAAGAACGCTGTGGACGGCGGGGACTGGATCATTCAGGAGAAGCTTGACAACTCGCCGTTCCTCAAGAAGCTGCTGCCGGAGGTCTCTCCTCTTTCGACTTTCCGCATCATCACAGCCTCTCGTCACGGTCTGGGTGAGGCCGAGGCGCTCAAGGACGGCGGTAACGGCGTCAAGTCGCTCAGCTGCGTGTTCCGCGCCGGTCTGGCGGGTGCCTCGACGGACCACAAGTCCATCATGTTTGACGTGGACATGGAGTCGGGCAAGATCATGAAGGGCTCCACCACGACCCACTGGTACCGCGTTGGCCCGCACCACATGTTCCGCGGCAACCTCAGCGTTGGCCACGACATCACCAACCACCCGGACACGGGAGTCCCTATTACGGGTAATGTGATCGCGGATATCAAGCAGATGAAGGAGCTCGCGGAGGAGGCTCACTACAAGCTCATGAAGGACGTGCCGCTGTGCGGTTGGGACGTGGCTATCACCAACCTGGGCGTGCTTCTGCTGGAGGTTAACATCTCGTGCAACTTCTTCCGTGGCACCTTCGACCAGCCCTGGTACTTCCAGTTCCTGGACGACTACTTCCGCCACCTCGAGACGCTGCCCACTCCCGCGAAGAAGACCAACTAAGTTGACTAGCGTGAGTTTATGGCACCGAGTGCTTTCTCCGTATTGCGCGTGCTGTTTGGTGGTTGAGGATGTAGCGAAAGTGCTTTAACAAGTTTAACTGCCATCTTGATAAAGAATCTTCAGTGTATCATTCCTGTGCATTGCCATTTGTTCTTGACTCCAAAATGGCTACATTTTGAAGCGTCCTTTTGGTTGATCAGGACTCGCCAATCATGCTGCGAACTCGGTACACGTCGACAGCTTCTCCTGCTCGCATGGACACCACCATTCTCAAACCTGCAGCGGCGGAACGAACGCCTGACCAGCAGCACTGATGACCACCGACGTCAGCATACTGTCGGATGCTGTTCTCAGCGAGCTGCTCTCTTTCCTCTACATGGACGACCTGCTGGCCCTGGAGCGCGTAAGTCACTCGTGGCGACAAACACTAGCGACTGCGTGCTTTTGGACCCACGCACAGCTGGAGCACCAGTGGCACAGCAGTGAACATGCGGCCACGCTTGTCAATCTCCTAGCCAAGCGTCATGGCCCACAGGTCAAGAGGCTGACGCTCATCGGCTGCGTTGTGCCCAGAGGAGCATTGGTGAAGGCAGCCAAACTTTTCTCTGGCTTGACGCACTTGACAGTCTCCGGCTGCCAGACGCTCGCTGATGAGGATTTCTCGGCCATCGTCCAAGCGTCGACCCAGCAACTGTTGGAGGTGTGCGCAGTCAAGTGTCTACGACTCACCGATGCCGCGCTGGAAGCCATCGGCGACGACCACTCGCAGTCGCTTGACAGGATCAACTTCAGCTATTGCAGACAAATTTCAGAGGACGGCGTGAAAGCTACAGCTCGACATTGCAGCAACTTGCGCTCGATCAAGTTGAAGAGCTGCCCTGCAGTGACTTCTTCTGCTGCCATCTGCATTGCTGAGAGCTGCCCCAAACTGGAGACGCTCCTGGTTGGCTGTGCCAAAAACCTGACAGACGAGTGCTTGCTAGCACTTGGAAATCATTGCCCCCGTTTAACAGCGCTCGATATTTCAAGAAGTAACCCGTTCGGATTTGGCCGTGGAGGCATCACTGACAACGCTTTAAAGTATTTGGCTTATCGGTGCCAGCAGTTGGAGCACTTGACCCTGTGTGGTCAGGGCCGATTGACGCTCTCGGTGCTTAGCTCGCTTGCGACCTCATGCCCCAAACTCGAAACGCTGGACATTGGCGGATGTCACGACATTATCTCGAATCCTATTGCATTAGGTGCGGAGCTGAAGCGCATGCGTGGGCTTCATGAGCTTAGTGTCGCTTTCACCCGAGGCCTGAAAGGAGAGCAAATCGAATTTATCGCGTCCCAATGCCCACAGCTGAAAGCTTTTCGTGTGGATGGAGATAATGTTGCTGCGGCCCACGCTTGACTTGTATTTATGCGGTGCGTCACGTTTGAGTAAAAAGATCCGATTCGTATGCAAGTCTTCGCTCTTCACCCACACTTTGTGAGCGATGTTGCCTTACTCCACAACATACTCACTTCTGAAAAACTCTTCGATCGCTTGCGCAGCGGATGTGCTTAGCACAGTCACGTCCAACAAGTTTTCGGCACCAGCCTGAGCAATCGACGCGATGCTCCCTGTTTAAAGCTGGCGTAAATATCTTTCAGACTGACGGAGTTGGAGCTCAAGTCCACTCACCAAACAAATCGAGCAGCATATCGCACTCATCAACACTAAGAAACGGGAAGTTGATTTTCAACGTGTCCATAGCATGCTTGCGAGTGAGTAGCTCGTCACTCATCTACATGTAGTAAACGCAGGTTTTGTGTAATAGTTGTTATAACCGAGTACGTTAGAACAAGTGGCTTTGTGTAAACTAACTTACCCGCTCGTTGAGCTGATCTGCCTTCTCGGTGATTTGGAAGGCATGCTTTTCGTGGACTGATACCTGCATCGCGTCAGGGAGGATAATTACAGATATTTTCAAACTAGAATCGATGAATGACACGCCACACCATTATCTTAGCGGCACTAGATAAGCTGAAGACTGTGCAAGAGAGGAATATCAGTAGAGCAGTATGAATACCAGCAGCGCATTTCGTTGCAATACCCGTGAAAATCTTGATCTGCATGGAATTGCTGACGGCGAGTAGCTGCAGCTCTGTGAACCGCGGGATCGGAAGAACTGCAATCGCGAAAGCATTTTCAAATGCCTTTTCAGCCTTCAACAGCCTGGTTAAGAAACATAACCAATTTCCCTTGAGTTACAGCATCTTTTACTTCTCCAGTGGAGCTTGTCCTTCTTTCCTGTCGAATGCGTTCTCCACTGAAAATCCTGGCGCGTCCTTATGAATAAACTGCAGCCACTAGATAGCATCAAATGAAGCACTCGACCCTACAAACTAGTTGTACCATGAACGCGACGGGAGGAAATTCACCCTTTCGCTGCGAGATCATAACGTCTGCGTTGCACCATCAGCCGAAGAAGCATTCGAACTTGAAAACTGGATTTGCATTCGCTTACCAGCGAGACAACCGGGCGCTTCTGCAGTTGCATCGATCAGTAAGAAAGAGCAAACTGTTTGCCATTCTGCGTTGTAGATCCTTTTCATACCTTTAGGTCGGAACCCGTACACCACCTCAAGTTCTTGAGCAACTGCACGTCATCATTTCGATTTAGAACAACACACAAGCATACCGCACAGTTAGCCGCACCTTCGGCGGGCACTATGTGCGGATTGTAAAGGGCTAACTGTCCCCTGGCGCCTCGACAGCGCGTGATCTTCCTGCTTGCCATCTTGCTTTACGCACACAGAATGCGGAAATGGCAACTTCAACTTTGTGACCATCACTCTACCTACCACACACTATCTACACAGCTGGCTCTCACCACACACAATCAACTGAAGAGCATGAGCAGCTTCTGGCGGGGATTGGCGCGGCCTCTGTACTGCGTGGCGCCCATGGCGAACGTCACAGACGCAGCCTTCCGCAGCCTCATCAGTGAGATCGCCAAGCCGTCAGTTATGTGGACCGAGTTCGTCAGCTGTGAGGCTCTGACGCACGACCCGAATTCGCGCCGTCGCATGATGACCACGCTCAAGTATGCGGAACAGGAGCGGCCCGTGGTGGCGCAACTCTTCGGCTCTAAGCCCGAGCAGTTTTACGAGGTGGGGAGTATTTGATATAGATCACTTTTCTTCGTGTATTTACCGTTTTTCTTTCTTTGCCATTGCCAGTCAGCGATGATCGTGCGCGACCTGGGTTTCGACGGTATCGACATTAACATGGGGTGCCCCGAGACCAACGTGAATAACCAAGGCAGCGGCGCCGCGCTGATCTTGCAACCAGACTTGGCGGTGAACATTGTGGCTGCGTGCAAACGCGGCGCGGGGGACTTGCCAGTATCTATTAAGACGCGCATCGGCTTCCACCACATCGACTACAAGGACTGGGTATTGCGGTTATTAGGGACAGATCCAGAGGTGCTCACTATTCATGGACGAACGCGCGATGAAATGTCCAAGGTTCCGGCACACTGGGATGTAATCGGAGAGGTTGTGACCCTGGCTAAATCCACAGGATCTCCGGCGCTGATTCTTGGCAACGGAGACGTCGGAAGTCTGGTTGAGGCACAGCAAAAAGTCAACGACTACGGAGTTGACGGTGTTATGCTTGGTCGCGCGCTATTTGGTAATCCGTGGCTTTTTCAGGGCTATCCGGATACGTCTCATGTGTCTGTGAAAGAGAAGCTGAAGGTGATCCGGCGCCACACGCAGCTCTTTCAGGAGTTATTGGCCGACCCGGGCCTCGTTGGATTCCCTCGCATGAAGAAATTTTATGGCTCGTACCTGAAAGGCGTGCCAAATGCGCGACAGCTACGCGAGCGTATGTCGCGCACTCAAACATCACAAGACGTGTACACTATCATCGATGAAGCTCTCGAGTACTTGGCCATCCAGGAACTAGAAGAGCAATCTACTGCAGGATAACGTTGCGGGAAAACGATGCAGTCTATTGTATGGTATATTGTGTTGCTCTCCACCTCTGCTTAGCTGCAACTTGCTTCTTCAGCCTGCTGCTGGACAAGTTCGTCCTCAACGCGCGCGTCGAGCACTTCGTCTGGAAGCACCTTCATGGCGTTTTCGATCATCTCGCGCAGCTCAGGTCGTGGGCCCTTCTTCGCCCATTGCGCTGAAATCTCGCGCTTGAACGCCTTGCCGCCAAACTCACCACTGGGATGCAGTAATTCACGTTAGTTGGTCTGTGTGTCATAGCAACTCGAAGATGAAGAAAAAGAACATGATTCTTTTACGTACTTGAAGAGGGCCAGCAGCGGCTTCATCAGCGCGGACGTGGCCATTGTGTATGGGGAGTCACTTAGCGGTTCGGTAGACCCCCACTTCGCTTGAAGATCCTCAGCGTACTCCAGATACAGCTCGATGATCTCCCGTCGCGATAGATTCGGGTTGCGCTCAGCGTTGAAGATCAGTCTGTCCGCGTCGCGGAAGTTCCAGGGCGTGTTGTACGCCGCCCGCCCAATCATAATACCGTCCACATTTGTGGTGTCCAGTAGCTCTCTCGCATGCTGGATGCTCTGCACGCCGCCATTGAGTGTGAAGGACAGCTCGGGGAAGTCCTGCTTCAGCCTGTACACGACCTCATAGCGCAGCGGCGGGATGGTGCGGTTGTCCTTAGTACTCAAACCCTTTAGCAGACACTTGCGGGCGTGCACAATGATGTGGCGAACACCCGCACTAGCTACAGTGGCCACGTAGTGATGCAGCTCCTCGTAGCTGTCGCAGTCGTCCACGCCAATGCGGCATTTTACTGTCACCTCCGCCGCCGGACGATCTGGTTTCTCCTCCGCTGCCAGCACGACGTTGCGCCGCATACTGTCACAAATGTCCCGCACACGTTCCGGCTCCAGCATTAGGCGAGCTCCGAAGCAGCGACTGGACACGAGCGCGCTTGGACATCCAGTGTTCAGGTTGATCTCACAGAAGCCACCGTACGATTGGCTCAGATGCGCAGCGGCTGCAGTGTCCAGCGCAACAATATTAGCGGCCGAAACATTTAAAGCTTAAAGGTAAGACAGTTTACCACCGAGGTCTTCAACACTATTGCCGCCAAGCTGCAGTGCAAGTGGCGCTTCGACAGGGTCGTGGCCCAGAAAGTAGTCGAGGTTCTTCTTCTGGTGCAGCAACTGTTGACGAAATTTACAGTCTCGAGTTAGTTAAGTGCATGACGCCTTCATTCGCCAGAGTTTTTATCGCCTCACAGTTTGGTCCACCACCATCTCGGTGAACAGCAGCGTTTCCTTGGTGATCATGCGCATCATGAAGCGGTAATGGCGGTCGGTCCAGTCCATCTGCGGCAACGCACGGTAATCACCAGCGCCGATACCAAGAGTGCATGATCATCAAGCAACAACGTACCATCGGCGCGATGGACAAGCGAGTTACAGGAGGAAGAGCAGCCATGGTCCTCCTCAACATGCTCTAGCCCACCGATTTTTTCGAGCGTCACAAAAGCAAATTGGGTAAGTATGGTAATGTACCCAAATTGTAGTTACCCATTTGACTAAAAACCTTCAGGATTGGAAGGCACTTCGACGTGGGTTTTTCCGCTTCTACACTTGCGAGTTCGACTACGAACACACTGTTGTTTGCCTACGAAGGAAAGAAGTCATGTCAAAGACTAGTAAGAGCTGGTCTCGACAAAACAACGTCCGACTCTGCCTGGAAGACCCTGTCGAAACCGAACGCGATCTTGGCTTGCTATGTTCCAGACGCGCCCTCGGTCGCCTGCGATGTGCCTTTGTTCACGCTTGTGTCATATTGAGCAAAAAGGAGGAAGGCTGCGATGCGTCTGTAGACCAGGAGGTGGAGGCAGATCTAATGGCCTCCTGGGCTTATGAAAACGATAACGTTCTAGAAGAAGCTGCAGGAGATAGCCATGAGACGTTGAGCTAGTCGCTAATTTTGGTCAAAGCTGAACAGCATAGTTCCAACTTCGTGGCATGCATCTGAAGGATGCATGGACAGAAGGAAAATCCGCTGTTATCCCGTTGCCGCGCGTGCGACAGCGATGCTGCTGCAGATGGCCATCATCAAGACTGCTGGTTCAACAGCAAGAATCGCTGGCAGTGTCCGCTTGACGCTGCACATCTTGCTTGACGGCCATAGGGTCACCAAGAAACCTTTGCTGTGGTGTGTCCCCTTTCAATTCTCTCTCGCTGGGATCACTAGGACACTTTCGCGAGCCATGCTTTGGCAGCGCTTGGCGGAGCAGTGGACACCGATCTCTTCTAGGCCAATGACCGAGCGACACGCTGAATCGGCTGTAGGGTGGGCGATAGACAGTGACGTAGAAGAGCCGCAACTAATAATTCACGTTCCGACCTCGGCATGGGACACCACAATTTCATGGTGACCATGGGCTCAGCAACGAATTCATCGCCAGATGAGATACATGTTCATTTGCAAGTGTCGGCATGCACGTGCATGAAGGTTACCAACAGCGCGTTCTTGATTGTAGGAAACGCCTTATCTCGATTGAGTCACCTGGTCGTGGCGAATGCAAAGAGTTAACGGCATTTGGAACTGGACGTAAAATACCTTGAGTTTTGTATGTCTCGAAAGGGTGCTAGGGCTCGGGGTACTTGAACGGCTACGACTCCACTAACCAGCCTCACTCGAACATTTTCGCAGTCTCGAGCACAGCCATCTCCACCTCGCTCCGTCCAGAGCAGGTATTACCGTGATCGGATCTATCGAACACTCGCATATTCCAGCCTTTCAACAAGCCAGCGCTTGTCTTCCCACCTTCTTCCTCATCCTCCAGTCGAGAAGTTATCCCCAGACAGACATGACGCTCAGCGGACCCGTGAAGCAGCAGCTTGAGGCCGCACGCGGCTACGTGTACCCGACGGACGGCGCGTTGGTTCCCGTGAACACCAAGAAGAGTGTGACAGGCAGCCAACTGCTGAATGGCTACCGCCACCGCAGCGCCAAGGTTTGGAACTTCCTCGGACATAAGCTGGCGGTCATCAAGACGGTCAAACAGCGCAAGCGCCTTCTTGAGGTCGTGGCCAAGGGCGATATGGCCGAGGTCATGGATGCGCTCAATGCCGGTGCCGACCTAGACGTCAAAAACTCGCTCGGCCAGTCGGCAGCCTACGTGGCCGCCGCCAACGGCTTCCACCACGTGCTCTCGTTGCTGCTGGAACGTGGCGCCAATGCCAACGACGTGGCATTGGACGGCACCTCGCCCCTGCACGTTGCCTGCGAGAACAACCACGACCGCGCTGCCAAGATCCTCATCAAGTATAACGCGCGCGTGGAGGTGGCCGCGCTCAACGGGTACACGCCGTTGCACCTTGCGGCAAAGCACGGCCACACGGAGATCGTGTCTGCCCTGTTGTCGGCGCGGGCCAAATGCGACTTCCCGGTCAAGGACACGACTACCACGGCGCTTTTGCTTGCCTGTATGGCTGGTCATTCGAGCGTCGTTGAGCAGCTGCTGGACGCTGGTGCCGACCCGCAGGTGGAGGACGCCGACGGCAACACTCCGCTGCACTTCACGAGTCGCGACGGCAACTACCGTGCAACGTACCTTTTGTTGACGGCTGGAGCTGACCCGGACATGCCGAACGAGCAGGACGAAACGGCTTTTGATATGGCGGAGAAGCAGGGCCACTCGCATGTGCAATATCTACTGGAGACCAACGGCATGGGTGTGGACGGCCAGACAGTGGACGAGATGGACATGGCCTGCTCCCAGGACGCCCGACTCAGCGAGGCATTGGCCCGCAACCGACCAGAAATCGCCGAGATCATCGTCAAGCTTCACATGAAATACGCGGGCTACTTCGCGTTGGGCGCGCTGCCCGAAGACGAACGTGTGACGGAGTTCTCAGAGAACACCAACCAGCTACTGTTCTAAGCGAGTTGCTGGCATGGAACGCCATGAGCCGAGCCTATTTCGCTGGATGTACAACAACCCATGCGCAAATCAACAAAGAGAAAGAAGCTCCATGCGAGAGAAGCAAGAATCAATGCTTGTCTCCATATCAATAAATCTAGCACGATTCCAGCGAGAGAAGCAGGAGTGGGGGTAGACACGTTCCATTCGATGTATATAGAAGCTGTGAAGTGATGCGTGAACTCAAATGTAGTCGACGATATCATACTCCTCTGTATTGCTAGCATCGCTATTGTTTTGAGCAGGTATGTCTACCTGGAAAGGCCGTGTAGAAATTAGCATGAGCTCTGCATTACGTATTCATGCGAAATTGATGTGCTCGTTGCAAACGGCTTCTAATCTCTCGTTGGTCTACAGACAGCTAGACGACACGACCTTGCTGCGATGAAACAAGCGGCGCGCCGGTGTGTACGGCTGTGCGTTAGTCTGCTTGGCGTGCACACGGACCACCCGCGGCGCGGAACGATATTCGTCATCTCTGTCTTTGTGGTGACAACAGCAGTTGCACGCGCAGTGCTTCCCACTGGAGACCGATGGCGTCTCGGAGAAAGAGTGGCGCCGCTCCGCGTTTTGGGGCATCACGTGGTTACCCCGCTGTAGAGTGGCTTCCAGTAATGTTCGCTTCGTTCGGGCTTTTGCCTGAGCTACTGCTGCAGCTGCCGCCGCCACTCCTCGCGACTCCAAGCACTTTTGTCGGAGTGTTTGCGGAGTAGGTGGCCGCTTCATGTACGCTGCACCCTTGATACTACTGGTGCTGCTACTGGCAGATGAAGCGTAGGAACGCACACTTCCAGCACTGCGTGGACGAGTATAAGACCCGTCACTTCGACCTGCAAAACTAGCTGAATCCACTTCGCTGGTCACACTAACGCTACGTCGGGGGCGAGGAGTCAGCGTAGGTTTGGGTCGAGGAAGCGGACGCGCGCAATCCCCTTCATACCCGCTTGCAAGTGATAGTGCTTCTAGATCCGGAGTCATCGACATCGACGTTGCTTGCTGGAGGAGGTCATGACGCGCCATCCGCTGCTGGTCCGCCAATTCTCGTCGTTTATGCAGCATGTGCGTCTTGCGGGGGTTAGCCGTTCGAGGACGTTCTTTCTTGACTCGTCTCGGTATGGAAGGAGCGGCGTTTGCTTCTTCGGTGCAGATAGAAGACGTCGAAGACGTTGATTCTCGTCGAGAAGCAGTCGAAGGTCTTGAGCTTCGTCCGCTAATACTCGCCTCAGCCTCAGCACCACCCCCGAACTCATTGTTTTCACTCATATCATCCTCGTCATCACTGTCACTTCGTGTCCAAATTCCTCCAGGCACTCTGCTGTTGTTTGGATACGCTGGCGGGTCCACAAATTGCAAAAACTCCTGTAGATCGATCTCACCGTTGCCATCCTGGTCGCACATGGCGAAAAGCTGTCGCATTTGATCGTCACTCGCGTAAATACCAAACTTGGTCTTGAGATTGAACTGCAACCCGTTCATTCGGATGCCTTGATCTCTTCCAGAACGAAGCATTTTGAACGCGCGGCGATACTGATCCTCACCACTCGGGGTCTTCTGCACGACCTTCGCCTGGATTTGTCTCATGAGCTTCTGAATGGTCCATTTGCAGGCCGTGCCCGTATTATTTACATCCTCTGATGTTGCTAGACCTTGGCAGGCTAGAAACTCTTGCCGTGCTTCATGTCGGAGACGCGCAGCCCTCTCCTCGCTTTCTAGCTGGCTGACTTCAAACCATTGCCGACCGTAGTTGTAATCGGGCGGCAGAACGCGTCGGATGAACTCGTGCAGGTCAATCGTGCCGTTGCCGTCCTCGTCGTACTTGTCAAAGAGCAAGTGGAGTTCACTATCATCGAGAATGATGCCAAACTTGACCCGTAGCTGCTCTCGGAAGCTTGGGAAATCGATACCTTCGCCCCGATTGCCTTCCAGCAAGCGATAGGCCTGTTGGTACACGAAGTTACCGGCGATCAGCGTCTTCTCTTGGATCTTTTCCTGCAGCTTTCGCTCCACTTTGTCGACATCCCACCGAAAATTCTGCAGCGACGGCGGCAGTTCGCGTCCGATAGGATCCCGGAACGAGATTTTGGGCGGCGAGCTGTACAGCTTGGTGGTATCTTTCTTTTTCTTGGAGGATTTATTACCAGACCCGGATGATCGCTTCAGCACTGCACCTTTCATGGCGAAAGCAAACGCGGAGCGCCAAGAGCAAAAGAAGTGCTCGAGTCTCGTGCGATGCCGCAGGGCCGAAGTAGGATGACCACAGACAAACAATGGCGCACCAACACAGTTTGACTAGAGCGAACTATCTATTTTTACCTTCAACCGCCACACATGTCAAGGTTTCATTCTATTTCGATGCTGGGGATATGTGTATTCGTCGACGTCTAAAGTACTTGCAAACACTAAACATAACACACAGCAACAAACTGACCATCACTCTGAGCCATCGATGTTGAAGTTGATACGTGGCCGATGTTCGAGTTTGTGTGCGTCGTCACGCATTGGTCCTCTGTTCCAACCTCCATTGCAAGCATGGAGTCAATGGTTCCCAGTCTCGTTGCTGGAGCTAAATTTCTTTTGCGATCACAGTCCTTCTCACTTACGTAGTGCAGTTCCGCAAAGTGGCCAACGCACACGACGGTACCAGGAAACCTGCTACCTCATCAAGTATCCGACCTCTTTTACAGTTTCTACGAGGATTTCAGGCACCGAGCGCCCGTCTCATTCTAGCCGTCAAGACGAAGCCGTTGCCTCGCCGCATGACCCAGGCGATGATTATCGTGTTTCGGGCTGGCAGTCGGTGTCAAATGAAGGCGAGTACATTTGTTGGGGTGATCTGTACCGGTAAGGAGTCCTTGCCCCAGAAACATGGACCGAGTCTTCTCGAAGCTCTTGATTTGATTCTGTTTTCTGCATCTCTCCGCCCTGGCGCTGTCTGTCATCATTGCAGCCCGGCCAAGCATTCCGTGCCAAACTGTGTAGCCATTTGCCCGTGCCCTTTTCCGCCAATCAGTCCGCATTCTCGCGGACCGGCACTCTCGTACGACGTCGCTCAGTAGCGCGTCGCCACCTGACGGCGCACCGACACCTAACATGACCCCGTTCGACGCCCCTGACGCCAGGTACACGCTGGGTGTGTGCGTGATGGAGCGCAAGGCTCGGTCGGCGCCCATGCTTGAGATTCTGGGGCGCCTACCGCCTGAGCTTTTCCGCATTGAGTTCTTTGGGGACGAAACGATATTGCACCAACCCGTGGACGTCTGGCCCCGTTGCGACGCACTTATCGCCTTCTTCTCGAAGGGATTCCCACTACAGAAGACGCAGGACTACGTTGCACTGCGGAGACCTGTAGTGGTCAACGACCTGGACACGCAGTATCTGCTACAAGACCGCCGAGAAGTCTACCGCGTTCTCCAGGAACACGGCGTCCCCACGCCGCGCCACGTCTTCGTGAGCCGTGACGGCTATGGTGGACAAACGGAACCTCCGGAGGTCATTGAACGGGAAGACTTCATCCAAGTGGACGGTGTCCGTATCAATAAGCCGTTCGTGGAGAAGCCAGTGGACGGAGAGGACCACAATATTCATATCTACTACCCCATGAGCGCCGGCGGAGGCTGTAAACGTTTGTTCCGCAAGATTGGCAACAGATCCAGCGAGTACGACCCACAGGTCAACACAGTGAGGACGGGGGGAGGCTCCTACATCTACGAAGAGTTCCTGTCCACACAAGGAACCGACGTCAAAGTCTACACTGTGGGGCCGCACTACGCCCACGCCGAGGCTCGCAAGTCCCCCGTATTGGACGGACGAGTGGTAAGAGATGCAGACGGCAAAGAAGTGAGATATCCGGTCATGTTATCGACCGAGGAGAAGCAAATCGCCTATCGAGTGTGCAGGGCTTTCAAGCAGACGGTGTGCGGCTTTGACATCTTGCGCGTGCGTGACGCCTCGTACGTGTGTGATGTGAACGGCTGGAGTTTTGTCAAGAATTCGGAGAAATACTACGACGACTGTGGTATTTTACTGACGCAGTACTTGGAGCAGGCACTAACTAGCGGTGGAGTGATGGCAGGTGAGGACTTTGGTACTGATAGCTCTGCCTTCAGCTCCGTCACCTTCCGTTTTGCGCCTGATGCCCCACCACCGAGTGCAGAGCTGTCGGAGCCCCCAACAGCGCACAGACACGCAATGCTTCGCGGCCCATCCACATCTATTGCCGAGTCTGAAGTGTCTGAAGCTGACAGTATCACGGACGGGGCTGAAGACACTGTGTACCAAGAAGAGGAGCTGCGTTGTGTTCTGGCAATCATCCGACATGGCGATCGCACACCCAAGCAGAAGATGAAGATGAACGTGTGCCATCCTGCCTTCTTGCAGTTCTACGAGGACCGACTACGTGAATCTCAGCAGGAAAATGGAGACGGGAATGATTCAAAGAAGAAAAAGAAGATGGACCTAAAGATTAAGGCTGTAGCGAATCTGGAGCGGCTGCTTCAAGTGAGCAAAGACCTGTTAGACAAGTACGAGAACCGGGATCCGGCTTTCATGGAGTTCTTGGAACAACGTGAGGTTAAATGCGGTGAAGATGCAACTGACCGCGTCAAGGGATACCGCACCTTACGTGACGTGCTACAGCGCTGGCAACTCGTTGGAATTAATCGCAAGGTGCAGTTGAAACCCAAGGAGTTCGTTTCTGTACCTGTTGATGGTACCGATGAGAACGGAGAGCAGCTAACGACACGTCGAGTGAGTAAATTGCTGCTGATCATCAAGTGGGGAGGGGATCTCACACACACCGGTGAGGAACAAGCCGAGCACCTCGGACAGAAATTCCGTCGCATGATGTATCCTGGTGGTGCAGGCGGTTTGAATCGTCTGCACTCAACGTTCCGCCACGACCTGAAGATCTACACAAGTGACGAAGGTCGAGTTCAAAAGACAGCAGCATCATTTGCTAAGGGATTGTTGGAGCTCGAGGGTGACATTATCCCTATTCTAGTTGGACTCGTTCTCAAGTCGAAAGACGCAGATTCAATGCTGGACCAATCGGGATCCTCTGCTCAGGAGATCATAATGCGTGTGAAGCAGCGTTTGCACAAGATTATCCACCGCGAAGACCATTGCAGCCAACTGATTGACTCCAACTCGCGACTAATTCGCTCTGTGGCTCTTGCTCTCACAAAGGTGGACCAGCCAATTAAAAAGATGGGGATCATGCACAAGTTGCTGCAGTCGCTCAAGGAGCAACTTACTCGAATGATCCAGGAGAAGGCACAGTACAAGTCCGAGATAGACAGGTGGCAACAGAAGAAAGCTACTGCCGGTCGTCTGCTAGCACCCGTAATGGGCCGTTCAGCAAGTGTCAATGAGCTGAGCCAGCCCAGGAGCCGTCATGTGCACTCGTACTCTCCTCGGAAGAAGCACAGCGAAGGAAGCAACATCCCTAGTGATGCTGCCAACAGCAGTGTCGGTCTGCGCAAAATGCGACCGCAAGAATCGTTGTCTCCTGAGGAGATTAAATATCCCGAACCTTGTGGTCGTGAGACGCTTGAGGTCATGAGAGAGCGATGGGCCAAGCTGTATCGTGATTTCTACGTCAAGAAACGTGACACGTACGATTTGTCGAAGATCCCGGACATTCACGACTGCATTCGATACGACGCAGTGCACAACGCGCACCTGAACTTGACCGACGTGCGTGAGTTGCTGGAGATTTCGAGCGCACTATCTCACGCTCTTGTACCTCAAGAGTATGGAATTAACGTGGACGAGAAGATCTTCATTGGATCAGCCATGTGCCGAACTCTGCTATCAAAGATCAATACCGACTTGGATCTGGCCCGTGGCCTTAAGCCGGACGTCCTGAAAGACCACAACACGCACCGTTTGAATCCGTCGTACGCCAAGAAGATCAAGTCGACGCACCGATCCGTGCGCACACGTCTGTACTTCACCAGTGAGTCGCACTTGCACTCGCTGCTTAACGTCCTTCGCTATGGACGCGAAGAATGCGCGATTAAAAGTCCTATTGGCGAAGAATCACGCAAGTGGATTGAGGACATCCCGGAGCTTTGCTACATGACGCACTTTGTCGTACGCGTCTTCGAGCGCGTCCAGTACTCGCTGGACGACCCCCAACGATTCCGTGTCGAGATCTCTGTATCCCCCGGAGCAGACCAAGACCCGCTAAATTCTGATCCGGAGAAGCAGCTGGAGGTTGCGCCGTTGAAGATTATCTCACATGAGGGCCTTACATGCCAGGAGCTTGTTGACTACGTTGCTGACTGTATCGACTTCGCTGAGCAGAACGAGATCAAGGAGATGATTAGCCGCACGGTAGCAGCCAAGAGCAACAGTAGTCCTGAGAACACGAACGGAGATAGCAGCAGCAACAGTGGAGATGTTACTCCGGTCAAGCGCTCCATGTACTCTCTGAGCAACAATAGCAGCGACAGCAACTTCAGTAGTGACAACTAACTGGTGCTCGCAACTCAAGACACCGAAAGGTAAACGTTCAAGCAGAGTAAGTAGCATGGGGTTGCTGTATATTGGAATGCTTTACCTTGCAATTCAGGGAATAATAGTCATGCGCTACCACCGTTTGGCCACTTGTTGTTGCCACGTACACATTTTTAGGTCTGCTGTACGTCTTGCTGACGAGCTTGCTGGTCCCAACGTCTTCGGAAATCTGGTTCGACGAATGTTGCTTCTGCTTCGGCGTTAAAGCCATGATGGAGCCCACTACTTCCACGGGCTGTTCCGGGGGCAGAGGGGTCACGTTTAATGGTAGGGGACGGTGGCTGTTGCTCGCATTCCTCGGGGCGACCACCGCCACTGTGTCCTCCCTGCGGTACGGAAGACTCGAAGCGTGAGATCTCGTCGTGCTGAGACTTGAGGTGGAGAAACTCCTCGCGTCCATGGTCCAAGTGGACCATCTCGTCATTCAGATGCTCCGTTTGCTCGAACTGAGTGATCTCCCGATGAGCGAACTCGCCGTTCAGCGACTCCATATGCAGCACTTCTGTTTGATGACGTTCCTTCTCCACAAGCCGCTGCGGTTGACCCTTCTCGTCGATCTTGGTGTACTCGGTGATTCGCTCCTGGATCGTGATCTCACGCTTCTTCCAGAGACCGGGAGCTGGCGGCGCTCGAGTCACAGCTTGGTTAATACGGGAAGGATGGAAGGACACAAGAGCATTTAGTCTACCCGTGCGAGGAGGGGGAGCCGGGAGACTTTCGAAGTGTCGCTGTCGCTCTTCATGTGCTGCTCGTACCGCTGCCGACTGCAAAAAGCGAATGAAGTTATCGAAACCCAAGTGTGTCTGCTGCGGAGCCAACCCAAACACTTGTGCGAGCAGTAGACGTCGGTACGGTGGAATGGACAAATAAGCACACAACTCGTCCAGTTCCAGGAAGTCACCGCTGACATTCGCATCGCCGCTTTCGACCCGCTTCTTGAGGAACTGGAACTGTTCATGCAGAGTTTCCTTCGGACGTCGAAGATTGAACGCACGCAGCACCAAGAAGTGCTGCAACTTCACTCGTCGCTCTGCCTCGCGTGCTTCTCGTGCTGAGCATTGCTTCGCTAGGTTTCCTCTTCCGCTGCGGCTTGTGGCGACATCTACAGCCATTCTTCTCCTAGAGATCCCAACGAATTGTGTGGATTGGAACTATGCTGTTCAGCTTTGACCAAAATTAGCGACTAGCTCAACGTCTCATGGCTATCTCCTGCAGCTTCTTCTAGAACGTTATCGTTTTCATAAGCCCAGGAGGCCATTAGATCTGCCTCCACCTCCTGGTCTACAGACGCATCGCAGCCTTCCTCCTTTTTGCTCAATATGACACAAGCGTGAACAAAGGCACATCGCAGGCGACCGAGGGCGCGTCTGGAACATAGCAAGCCAAGATCGTGTTCGGTTTCGACAGGGTCTTCCAGGCAGAGTCGGACGTTGTTTTGTCGAGACCAGCTCTTGCTAGTCTTTGACATGACTTCTTTCCTTCGTAGGCAAACAACAGTGTGTTCGTAGTCGAACTCGCAAGTGTAGAAGCGGAAAAACCCACGTCGAAGTGCCTCCCAATCTTGCACACCACCAGCTTGTTCGATGACGTACGTCTTGTCAACAGCTTCGAGCCCCCTGTCGATTTCTTCTTCAGTCAAAGCACGAAGAGCGGACTCGTCTTCAACAGCGTACGCACTGCAGTCTAGAACTGGCAGGATACTAACACGCTGAAGATAGTAGATAGCCAGCAGTGTGAGTCCATACGAACTCAATGCGCCGCTTGCGACACGTTTCTTGGCTTGACGCCAATTACGCAGCCACTTACATAATCGCCGAACATGTAGAAGTTGTCTTCGCTTTGTTGGAGTGACATCAGCGCCACCATACAACAGCCACCGCAGTAGTCTTGTATTCCACAACGCAGGGACGTTGTTCACGCAAAGGTCACAAGGTAAGTTTGTTGATGGATCCTGGAAGTGCACAATGGGAACGCGAGCCCCCGTCACAGCGGTCACAGGCTCAGCGTCTTCGGTCGCATCAGGCAGAAGGTAAAGAGTTAAATGCTCCTTCACTTCGGTGATCAGAGAGGCTGTTTCTTGGCGGAAGTGAGGAGCGGACGGCAGTAACGCGCAGAGGTCCACGTCGGCGGGATTCAACTCTTCTTCGTCAGAACAGGACAAAAGGCCAGTGACTGAAGATCCGAATACCAGAACGCGTGCATCCGGCCACATAAGACGAAGAACGTTCTGCACACGACGAGCGACTTGCTGTCGACGCTGCAGCTCCTCCACCATAGCTTCACAACCACTTGGGCCGTCTTTCTCCTCAGCAAAACCTATTGAAGAACCGACACTTATCTGGTCAACAAACGCTCGCGAATGAGTTGGCACGAGATGTAGTAGCTTTCCTGTCAGCAGACACTTTGTCACCAATGCTCGTTCCAGTTTCCGTCCTCGTTCCCTCTTGTCCTGCAGCTTTGTATCATTTGACGCTGTCGGATGAAGCATCAAATGCACGGCCGCCTTCACGGCCGCTTTATCCTCTTTTTTCTCCATCGTTTGCAACAACCATGGCCACAGAAACCGCTCCAGCTTCTCTCCAGTCACCAGGGAGTCTTCATCCAATTCCACCAGGAACTGAGCCAGCAGTAGTGGCGCTGGAGAAATCGTCGAACCAGCCGAAATTGCGTTCAGTAGCTCTTCACCTCGCAAATTCAGCCGCTTCGCATAGTGCGCTGCGGCTCGGGGGGCCTCGCGCCCCGATAAAATCACGCGGACGACCGTGGCTCGAGCCTCTGCAGTCCCGATCTGGTGCGCGAGACTCTGCGCTGTGTCCCACTCGCGGCTGGATGTTCCTTTCAGCAATTTGACTAGATCATCTGTAGAAGAAGACACGGGATTTAAACGCGCCAGTCGCTCCGCCTTGGACTTGCGGCGCCCTCGACGCTTCTTGCGCTTCGGCGAGGCCTCATCCGATGGACGATTCATTTTCGATGTGGCCAAAATTGTTGATTGGTTGAGCGCCAACCAATGAGCTGAGGCGATTCCACTTCAACATTCACGGCAACTATTGCTTGCATGTCGCCCAGGAATCGGCCATGTGCACGTACACGTACATGCATACACTTCTACGTGCGTGTCCTTGGACTCTAGGGCCTGGAGTCCAGGGGCTCCCTGGACGGCGGCCTTTGAGCGATGATGACTTTTTTCGAGGCGGCGCAACTTCGAATGCTGGATCCAGTTGTTCTTTGCGGTTTCGTCATGTGTACATGTGCCATAATACTACTTCGTCTGTGCTGGTCGTAACTAGCGCCAATGCATGCTCTTTTAGGCTAGGCTGTACGTGTCTAGATTGAGACACCAGGCTAAGAGCCATAAGACGTGGGTCATTTCTCGGTGTCTTTCCAGCAGCAGCTTGATAGCTACACTTGTAGAGTCGATGTTTCGAGCAGATGCTTGATATTTTTACGCGCAGTCATATACTCTCTCCACATGAAGGCTCCGTTTCAGAGTTCTCTCCGTTATTTTCGCAAGCAGGACAGGCATCTATACTTACTTTCATCCGTTTGACGGCAGTAGTACCATCACCAACTCGGCAGCGAGAGCCAAGCTCCAACACCTCTTGAGCAAGTCTCCACGACAGCTACCTCTACTCCCACACCATGACGACAAGCTTGGTAGGAGAGGATGGCCTCTCTAAACCAAATTCTGGGCCAACGTTGGAGACTATTAAGCTTCCTCGAGGAGGCGTCGTGGCCTGTACATCTATCGGCCCTGTGCAACTCGGGATGCCCCCCGAAACAATCAAGGATTCCATGAAACTTGGTCTTCCTGTGCCACGACACTATATTGTACCATCGGAGCCTTTCACTAAGACTTTAGGTGCCAACATGGGCGTCAATGTGGCCGAGTTTGAGTTCCCAGCCTATTGCAACTTCTTCTTCAAGCGACAGTGTGTCAACCTCATCGTGACGTCTGCAGACGTAGAATCACGGATCCGTCAGGTATTTCAGGAAACGCTCTTCGGTCCTGCAGAACTTGACTTGCGCAATGACTTCCCACAAGCTACACCACCAGAGCAGTTTCCAGACTTAAGAAAGGAACTGGAGTACTTTCGTAAGTTTGGTGACACTCTCATATCACTAGACATGCTGCTCACTTTCACCCACTTCGACGCCAACGGTGAAGCCAAGGTTGCACAGCTTGGAGCACCAAGTGATACCCCGCCGCTTATAATTCGCAAAGGTGACGGGTGCTTTACCATCGACGATGGAGAGTACGGGAGTGTGACATTGGAAGACGCCGTCGATCTCCCTCCACCGCCTGCAAATGCGTTAACCACCCATCTCGACTCATTCTACCCACCAGCCTTTGGTGTGACGGTACTTGGCAACTCTCACGGCTTCGACCCTAACGGGAAAACCTCTGGTTACGTTCTGTGGATCAACCACCGCGGGATTATGATCGACCCACCTCCATTTTCGTCGTCCATTTTGAGCGCTAACAATATTCCAGCACTCATGATTGACGGTGTGATCCTTACGCATTGCCACGCTGACCACGATGCAGGCACCTTCCAAAAGATCTTGCAGGAAGGTCGCGTAGCTCTCATCACCACAGACACTATTTATCGGTCGTTCCTACGCAAGTACTCGGCTCTGTCAGGTTTCGAGCCAAGTTTCCTCGAACGCGTGCTCGATCATCGCCTTGTACGCATCAACGACGTGACTCAGATCCGCGGTGCTGAGTTCCGCTTTTTCTACTCGCTGCACTCCATCCCGTGCGTAGGCTTTGAGGTCACGTACGGTGACAAGAAAATCGCATTCTCCGGTGACCACCTTAACGACGTAGACAAGATCCGCCAGCTCGAGAGTGAAGGAGTTCTTTCACCTGCCAGAGCCCATGAACTCTTGAATTTCCCTTGGCACTGTGACGCTATCTTGCACGAAGCGGGAGTGCCACCTATTCACACGCCACTGAAAACGCTTATGGCTCTAGACGAAGAGATTCGAAAGAAGGTGTACGTGGTGCACACGGCAGCCAAGGATCTACCCGATAACTGCGGGCTCCGTGGCGCACCAGAAGGTGTCCATAATACGATCACGTTAGACGTACCAAAGCTACCGGAAAATGCTGGGGCACTTGAGATCCTAGATCTTGTTAGAAAAGTGGATCTGTTCGCTGAGCTCACACTTAATCACGCTTACGAGATCTTGCAAATGGCTCGGAAAACGGAGTATCCCAAAGGAGCTGTTGTGAGTAAGATGGGTAACGTGGGTGACACGTTCTTCATCATTATTGTGGGCGAGGCGCAAGCAGTGTACAAGAAGGAGTCACCTCCGGTAGTGGATGGATCATTGGCCCAATCTTCGCCAGTCGAGAATATCAATGTCCCCAAACCGATAGCACGCGGCCGAGAGAACAGCACACGTCGACGAGTGTCCATGTTGTCACTGGCGAAGCAGTACCGACCAGGAGACTACTTTGATCTGCAGTCTCTGCTGACCCCGAACTGGGCGCTTCCATACGACATGGTAGCAAGCACTAAACTGTCACTACTCGAGTTCAATGCACTCGACTTCAACTGGTTCCTACGACGCACGTCCTCCTTCGAGCGTATTCAACAGCTCGCACAGAGTCGACTTTACTTCTCCTACGACATTGTAGAGAGCAATCAAGTGTTCCGGAGACTGACGTCGGCTCAGCGGACAGCACTTGAGATCATTCTACGCCCACGTGACGTGACTGAGGGGCAGGTACTCTGGAGTGCCGGCGACAAGTGCTGCAGCGCTGTCATTATCGACAAGGGGCAATTCCTTCTCAAGATCGCGCCTGTATCTTCCGGTTCACCCGTACGGAACAACTCAGCCAGTGGCCCGTCGCGGTCACGACCGTCGTCTCCAGGTCAAACGCTATCGCTCATCGCGAGGAAATCGCTGAACGTACGTAAATTGTTTGTCCAAGGCATTGAGAGTATCGGCACTAACTCATGTTTCCATATGTGACTCAAAACTAAATTCACAGCGCGTGATCCCGATGGACTTGAGCCTCGTAAGCACTACCTCAAGCAACAATAAGAGCTGTGACGTACTGCAGGAGGTGACGCTCAACCACGGCGGCTTCGCTGGGGACGTGGATCGACTCACGTCCACAGAGGACACAACGCACGCGACGTCGCTAATCTGCACACATGCTGGCTCTGTCTTCGTTATTCAGAAGCACGACCTACAGATCTTTCTCATGGAGAATCCAGGTCTGCTCTTGAGTCTCAGCGGCAAGGTCTTCGCTAGCTAGCTTTAGGAGGAAGAGTGAAATTTACAGTTGAAGTTCGATCACCGAAACTATGGTACCTGGTACCAAATATCAAGAAGTAGCGCCTAAGTAAGATTACTTCATGTTGTTGAGCCATTTGGACAGCATTCAGAGACAAGACCACAACTTGGTCGCCGCTCGATCCTCGCTATGCCCATGGAGCGCTCCATCCGCCGTGATCGCTCACGCGACCCTGAAGACGACGCCAGTAGCGACACGGGCACCAGCACGCGTTTGCGTCGCCGTATGCGCAGTATGGTTGGCGATTCAACATCGGACGGCGCAGACACGGACGCCAGCTCAGCCGGCCAGACGATGGACGAGCCTCAGCGCCGCCCAAGCCGCCGAGGCAGAGCACGCAAGACCGTGGAGGATACTCGCAAGTCTATGCGTAACACCGACGAGCACCAGTCGCCGCCGTCGGGAGATGAATATGATGATGAGGATGACGACGACAACAACGAGGTCAATGAACGACGCCAACGCTCGTTGTCCAATGTCTCTAATACCTCGTCTACATCGGGCTCCTCGTTGACGTCAGAGCCACTCACTGAGGAACAACGTCGCGCTCGCGCCGAGCAGCAAATGGCTGAGCTGGAGCAGAAGAAGAAAATGGTGGAGGACGGCACACTCGCCGAGTTCTGTCGCCGCGTAGCTGCCTTCAAGGAGGAACGGAACCGCCTGCTGCAGACGGCGGAACTGCACAAAAATCTGCAGCTCAAGAACGGACAGGATCTGTACAAGTTTGAGGTGCAACGAGCGCATCACCTGTGGAAGAATGACAGGAAAGAGCTCAAGGAAGAGCTACTGGGCAAAGTGGACGCCGTCATGGCCAAGCTCCAGACGGAGATGAAGGCGCTGTCCGAGCCCGGAGCGAAGATTGCGAACATTGAGATGAAACCTAAACAGAAGCCGAAAGTGGACAAGGCAGACAAGCCGTCAGTGAATGTTGCAGTTGTCAAGGAGAAGACCGACGAGGGCAAGAAGACTAGCGAGCCGGAACAAGAGGAGGGTGAAGTGCCGGAGCCACCTGCAACAACAAAAGAAGTTCCTCTAGTCAAACGACGCAAAATGGACCCGACAGCAATCGGAGATCCTGTCGAAGTGTCGAAGTTGCTACCGGTGGAGGCGGTGCGCTTACCGTTTGATGACGTCAATTCCGACATTGCTGCTATTGTTGGCGACCACAAGAAGACAGCACAAGCCTCGGTCGAGCAGTTGCCAAACAACGGAAACCGTAAGATCTGTGTGTCTGTTGCTTACGTTATGCGAATTTATCTAACACTTTTACTGCCATTTGTTGCTGCAGTGCCCTTCAAGCTCGAGCGACGGCGGCTGTTCTGCGGCAAGAACGTGTTTGAAGATGGAGACGAGGTGCATGTTACGATGCCACTGATCCATGAGGAGTATACGGGGACGATTTCTTCCATCACGGACGACGCAATCTACATCAAGCTGGCATCAGGCCAGAAGGCACGCGTCTTGCTGCCGCATCTCGAGCGCCGCCGCTGCGAGCTTAAGCCACTGCTGCGTGGTACCACGTCCACGGGTAGTCTCCACAGCATGGGCTGGTCAGAGTACGATACGTTATACTAAGGCTGTCCCTCGTATAGAGCTCGTGAATTGCTCAACCCTTTTACTGTGTAATGTTCATGTACTACTTTGCTTCTCTGGTGCCACCATCCACCACGGGAGTTCGTATTATCTGCTTTTTGTTTTGCCTGCATAGCGCCAGTCGATAAGCACCTTCAGATCGGCTAAATATTTATCTGCATCAGGTTCATGCACCATCTAATGCTCGTGCTGCATATTGCGGCACGTTCATGCAATACGAATCGTCCACATCTAATGCTGCACGGTTTGGCTGCCTCCACTAGACAGCATCTTGAGCAAGTCGGCGTTGCGGCCACGCACACCTTCACTCGACCCTCTGTCCTCGTCCGTATCACTATCACTATCGTCTTGGTATTCTGCGGTGTCTATAGAGTCCGAGCGCTCGCCGCCCATTCGGCCAAGCGTCCCGATGACACCGCTACCGACCCCCACAACGAAGCGCTTGAATCCTAGCGCTCCACTAAGAGCCATCGCCAGCTGCTTCTTGGCCGAGGGTTTACGCTGCTCAATGTCCATATCGTCAGCGTCTTGACTGTGAAGATGCAACCGTCTGCGTTTCAAGTCGCCACGAGCGTCGGCACCTCCCGGAGTCATTTTCTTTCGGAAACGGATCTCAGGAGACTTGAGCTGCGACAGCGACACATACCCACCCGATGAGCTCACGGGTGGTGCGGGACAAGCGTCCAAGCTTTCGATAAGACTGTGACGAGGTGGCAGCGACGACGGAGCAGATAGTGGCGGTGGCGGAGGAGGACGCGAGTCCATGTCGCTACTACTGCTGGTCGAGGCGGCAAAGGAAGGGTTGCTGGCAAACGACGGCAATGACGCACTCGAGCCGATAGACGCTAGCTCCTCCAGGTCTGGGCGTAGAAACGTGGTGAAGGCGACACTCCAGCGCAACTCCGGGCGTGCGTCCACCGCTCTGAGGAAACGCTGGAGTCTCTCGCGTCTGTGATGCAGCAGTCTTGGGTCGTCTCCACGCAGATAGGAGATCCAGCCTCCATCTGGGAATTTCGGCAGTGCGTCCCGTAGCGCTGAGCCATGCGTCTCCACCAGGTAGTTGTATAGATGGCGGAAATCCGTGTACCTCCTCATGACCGTGTAGCGAACCACGGGCGGCAGTTCCGGATACACGACGCTCTGCTCCTCTGCTGTGGTGGTCTCTGGGTCCTCACTGTTACTGCTCCGTACGTTCAGATCCCGTGCTGAGTTGCCAGAGTTGCCGCTGCTGAAACTGGATGCACGCACGTCCAGCACCTCGATGTGGTATTGCCAACTGGTGTTCTTACGGGTCACGCCAGTAATCTGCAGGTCACGGCTAGCCTCACCTGTAGCCTGGATAGACGGCACACTCGCCGGCGGTGCGTGGGAAGCATCGGGAGCCGCAGCATGCATGGCGATTGGGTGTGTCAGGAGAAGAGCTGTATCTGACGTTGTAGCGCGTTAGGAGACGAGAAACGGAATGCGATCGAGAGACGAAGGGCAGACCAAGACGGAGAGACGCACGGATAGTGCAGCGGGGGTCTCTACGCAGCGACTTGTCGGTGTTTTCCTAGGCACTGCAAGCGCTCTTCTGCTGCCCAAGCTGTTGCAAAACAAAAGTCGTAACGTACCCAAAATATGTGCCAAAAAAGTGACTTTTCATGAATTCCCCAAAATTTAGTAACTAATCGCTCAAATTAATACCCAGACCGCTTGCCAATCTTTGGTTAGCCTGCAATGTCTCGTCGAGCAGCTTTGTCGGTGTCTTCGGGGGCCTCCAGCGCCACCCCCACGGCACGCGAGCTAGCAACTGCAATACTAAAGCAAACTACGTCGAAAGAGGTGCACAACCATACATAATCTGCCTCCAACACCGCACTCTAACGCTGATAAATAATGTTTGTCATATTCGCTACGCAGTCTCTGGATGCCATCGCAACGCTTTACAGTCAGTTTCTGGGCGAATCGAGCGATGACGAGAGAACGCTGAAGTGTCTCCGAGAGTTAGACAACATGCGTTTCCTGGAGGACGCTCTGTGGCCGTTGGGGGACGTAGTGTCCACCGTACGCGACTGCGTAAAGAAGGCCTGGCTGGTCTCCGTGCTGCTGCTCGTGTGTTTCCGCTCACGCGAGGGAGACACAGTGTCGTCAGGGGTCAGCTCCAGTGGTGTGTGGATATTTCTTAAGGAAGAGGACGCAACCTGGAAGACATTTACGTCGACATTGTGGACGACATTGGCGGACGCTGAAGCCGGGGACGACGACGCCAAGTGGACGCTCAAGGAGGAAACTGCACTAACCCAGTTTCTCATCACGTGCTTCCAGAACCTCGACGTACCGCAGGTTGCTGCCTCCCTGCTGCAGATGACGTCGCTGCCGCTCTGGACGGCGCTGTCGCCGACTCAGCGCGCGCTCGAATTCCAGACGTATCCTAAACTGGAGCGCCACTGGAACCGTATGATGGCAGAGGATTCTTCTACCAAGACAGAGGACAAGAAGACGCCAAAAAAGAACAAGCGTCGTAAACTTGAGGCGACAACGGAGACTCCGCGTCACGAACAAACTGCTCTGGTGCACCGACTAGACGCGTTTTTCCAGGTGCTGAAGGCCCCGGTTGACGATGCCGTTCCAAAGCAGGAGCTAGTGCTACGCCTGCGCTTCGTTGCCGTGTTTCTGGCCTTGTTGATTGACCTCTTGAGCCAGCTGCCCACACGTCGCTTTCTGCTGACAGTATTGAGGCGTCGTCATGTGCGCACAGTGCTGGAGAACAGTGCATTAGTGCAGCACGCGCTGCAGTGGCAGAATCTCAATGATAGACAAGCCCTCAGCAAGCAGTTGGCGCTATTAGACGCCTGCATGAGGTTTCCCATCGATGCTCAAACGGGTGCGTCGCTGTCTCCGCGGGAGCATCGAGAGCAGCAGGCACAGCACATCCAGGCATTGCAGCAGTGTGCGTTTGCGTCATTCAGGAACTCAAGAGTGGAGGAATTGGCCATCGCTCCGTGCAGTCATATTGCGGATGCTTCCAGCTTCACCGAGATGCTGAGCGCAATAGCAGCTGCTGATCGCTCGCGACTGTCAGCGTTGGCTATCGCTGTTGGTGTACTGGCGGGTCAGGCTGAAGCTGACTTAAGCTCCGACGCTGAGTTGATTGAATTCTTCAAGGAAGAATACTCGGCTGATAGCAACAGCGAAAACGACGCTCTTTCTTCGAACGTGCCAGTGTTCCCTACGGAATTGGACATTTGGAATGAAATGCTGGACCGCAAGGACAAGGCAACACAGAATGGCGACGAGTCTATGGACGAACCGGATCAAGCATTGAAGGAGATTTACAACGCTGATGATACCAACCTGTTCCGTGTACTACCCGTGCGTAAATTGGGTCTGCAGTTTTTGAGCCTGGCAGATTATCTTCAGCGCAACTACGAGTTGGTTCGACTGGAGGCTGCGCAAGATATTCGCAGGGATCTTGAGAGTACTATCGAGCAACTTGACGCAGTGCGTACCCTGCGCTCGTCAAGTGACAACGACACAGTTTTCCGAGGGTTTTCTCGTTCTGCTGTACCCCTGGCTAGTCCACTGCAGATTGTGAAAGTGAGTAAACCAGCGCTTGGCCAAACCGCCCCAGCATCCGTTGTTGCGCAGTTTGAGGTGGAACTCTCTAGTCGCCACGATCGCAAGCAGTTTGATTGCTACCAGACGAAGGAGGTGGTGTTTCTTGTGACAGTAAGAGCAACGGCTGATGAAGGTGCTGAAATGATGGGCTTCCAGCAACAGACAAAGCAGATGGGGTCATTTCCTGAAAACTTTGGTGTGCAGTATGTGCGTGCAGGCGAGGTCTTGGAGGTCACGGACGCTGCGGGCAATGTAGTAAACGATGAAAACGCTGTGGGCAAAGGCACCAAACGCGTCTTCAAGATTGCGTTGGATGGCGTGCAATACAAGAACGATCTGGAAGGTGGCCATTTAGAGGCATACGAGCAGGTGAATCTATTAGTTCGACGGAAGCCGCGTGAGAACAACTTCAAGGCTGTGCTGGATACAGTTGCCGGTGCGTGGCTTAACGCCAACAAGGAAGAGCTTCTGCCAACGTGGCTTCACGACCTCTTCTTGGGATACGGCGATCCGGCGGCTGCGATGTACAAGTCAATCTACAAGACAAGGGCTGATAAACAGCTAGCGATACCGATGGGTGAACTACTACTGGATGGAGAGCACGCGCTTGAAGCTGGTGGCGCTGAAAAGCTTGTGAATGCCGATGATGAAACACAGGAGCTTGATGCGAAGGTCGCGATTGCTCCGTTTACTTACGTCGAGAGCGTGCGCAACGGCACGAGTGTTATTCGGGCGTACCACAAGAAGGATGCCTCGGCTGCATCTCCAAGTGTTTCTTCCCCAATCCGCTACACAAAGGCACAAGTGGCAGCCGTCCGAACGGGACAGTGTGAAGGTCTCACATTGGTCGTGGGTCCGCCAGGCACGGGTAAGACGGATGTGGCCGTGCAGCTCGCGTTGAACCTGTACCGCACCACCCCAGCTCGCGAGAAGATACTTATTGTTGCTCACTCGAACCAAGCACTGAACGATTTTTTTGCCAAGATTCTGGCCCAAAATGTTATTCACGAGGCCGAAATCGTTCGAATGGGTCAGCCACAACTTGCGAATGATGATGGTGCAGGCGGGAAGGAAAATGAGGGCGCTTTCCATGCAGATTTCAGTCGTAATGGTCGTGTGGCATTCCTGTTAACGCGGAGGGCGGTACTGCTGGATGAAGTGGAGCAAATGGCTCAGTGGCTGATCAAGCGTGATGCTACGCAATACGCCGGTCTTGCTGGTGGTTCGGCGTCGTATTCTTGCGAGAACGCGCTCATCTTCTACCAGTTCCACATGAAGACGTTCCTCGACGCTGCACGAGAGGCTACAGAGTTGCCACCAAAGGATGGCAAGGTTGCAGCACTCGTTGAGTTTTTCACAATGCGAAAGGGAACGGCGCCCGACAAGGTCGATGCTCTGCATCAGTTTTCCCTGGACATCGAGTCGTATTTCGCAGAGCTGCGGCGTCTTCAATCTTTTGAACTCCTCCAGACTCCACGTCAACGCGGCGACATGTATTTGATTCATCATGCTCGCATTGTCGCTATGACGTGCACGCACGCGGCGTTAAACCACCGCAGACTGACGGACCTCGGACTGACATTTGGAAGTCTCATCATGGAGGAAGCTGCTCAGGTTAGTGAGCTGGACAGTTTGGTACCGCTCCTGTTAGCATGCTCCAGTAAAGCCACAGCGAACGAGGGTGAGACATCGTCGGGTCTTAAACGTGTCGTGCTCATGGGAGACCCAAAACAGCTACCGCCGGTGGTGAAGTCGCTTGCGTTAAAGAGCTACGCGCACTTCGATCAGAGTCTCTTTACACGTCTGCTACGTCTTGGTGTACCTCGCATTGTGCTTGATCGTCAAGGTCGTAGTCGGAGTGAGCTGGCTGACATCTACCGGTGGCGATATGATGACTTATCGACTGGAAACAAAACTACGGTGGGCGATTTGCCTCGTGTGATGTCGGAGCCCGAGTACCAGACTGGCAATGCCGGATTCTCTAATGTGGCACAGTTTGTGGATCTCTCTGGGACGTCCAAGGAGCGTCAGTCCAAACCTTTCGCCTACGAGAACGAGGAAGAGGCTCGGTTTGTCGTTGCGCTGTTCCGGTACATGCTGGGGATTGGCTATCGTTCTGAACAGGTGACGATCCTTACAACCTACGACGCCCAGAAAGAGCTCCTGCAGCGGCTTCTTCGATCCGAGGGTGCCAAGAGCTGCAAAGTGTCGACTGTAGATCGTTTTCAAGGCCAGCAGAATGACTTCGTACTGCTATCCACAGTACGTAGCGGGTCTAGCGTTGGACATCTCCGAGACGTGCGTCGTGCTTCGACAGCCTTCTCTCGGGCTCGCCTTGGACTATATGTGGTGGGATGCCGTGGAACGCTGGAGCAAGCGCGGGAGCTGCAGCCGTTCCTCTCGAAGCTGATGGCAATAGCAGAGAAGCAGGACGGTGACAAGGCGACTAAGCTGGCACTAGTACCAACTGAACGGGTGACGGGCAGTAACGACACAGCAAAGAAAGCGAAATCCAAGACCAAATCCAAGGTGAAATCCAAAGACGTTGTGTACGTCTCCGACCGCAAGCAGCTCGACAAAGTGCTGGCAGGACTGAAGGCTTAGATAGAATGGACACACAGTCGAATTTTGCTGCTAAGCTAGCGCGTACATTTTAACCGGATAGAGTTCTTCCGGAAAGTGTCGTTGTCTCCGCTCCGCGAGCAACGTGAGTCCAGCCTGTTGGAAAATACTCTTGTAATACACAGCAGAGCGTGTGATGCTGCTGTCGTCCCGGTCGAGGTCGTAGGGCTCAGAAGTCTGAAAAACGTTCTCCTTGATCACAATAAAGCCGTTCGGGGTGAGAGCCTTCTTGCATCGCTTCAAGTACCGTACGAGGTCGAGATCTGTGAGATGCACCAGCACCCACTGCATCCAGATGAGGTCATAGCTTGCAGCCGCCGGTTCAAAGTCCTGCAGCCCCATGCAGTACAGGTCCCTCACACGAGCTCGCAGAGTCTCGTCCGCTCCAAGATACTGCGGTACACCTCGTAGCAGTCTTGGACTCTGTTCCACCATGTCCACATGGTCGAACATGGGCAGTAGCAGCAGTTTACTCACGCGACCGATGCCGGCGCCACAGTCCGCTGCTGCATTACAGACCCACTCGGGTCGCACCGTGTCTCGAACGTGCTTGAGGAACCGCCTGGACTCGCGGATATCGACACCTGAGACGTGAGCGAATCCTCCCAGAACGCCGTTGTCTGTCAAGGGGCAATTGGCCTCGTCGTCCCAGTACTTGTGAGCACTGGCGTACCAGGTGAGCTCTTTCCTGGGTTGCTGGGTTGCTGCCTCCTCTACATTCTCTTCGTCGATGTTATTGGGCGCATCGCCTAATTCTGCCTGCCACATCGCGAACACGCTCCTGCATCGGTGGTGTCATTGGCAGAATTCTGTTAGAGTTGCTACATTAGAATGAATTCAATTAGTGGTGGTGGAGTAGCTCACTCGAACTCTTCATGGGGCTCGATCTTGTCGGACGCATCGAGCGCCCGCTGTACTTCGGTGGCGATTGAGCGCAGCTCTTTCCAGTCGACAGGCGAGCAACTGCGTCGGGATCGAGGCAGAAGCAGAGGTGTTGCATCGGCCACGGACGCATTGGCGTCGGTTGCGACTGCACAAGTCGCCATCAAAAAGCAATTGTTACCTTGACATAAAATCTACCCTCATTTTAGTGACGACCATAATTGACTAAATTTGTAAAGAGAGAGAAAGGAGTCTATTTAACCTCGATAGTTACAGTGCGCGCCAAATCATTAGGACCGTCCTTTTTCGTGCACGGTTCCGTTAATTGCGGCGCCTGTAGGACGACTTGGGAGCCGCTATTTAGATATAGCGTTTGTATTGTGATTATCTAGCCGCTACATGTGCTAACGACCGCGAACTCGGCCTGCTT